GGATTTCTGGAAGTCAACTGGCAATTCTATCCACAAGGATTCATACAACAAATTACCGCATCTGGCGAAGTTTTCCGTGAGTTTGCTGCCAAGAAAACAGTACAAAAATATCGTAGCAATGCTTCCAAAGTGAGCCACAAGCATATGGAAAAGTATAATATTGAGATGCTAGATGACCTGCAATTTTATAAAGTGAAGAGCTTAAAAAAATTAGAATCTATACATAATAATGCTTACAATGTGAAATTTGAAATTGTTCGACGAAATTATCATGATGCCAACAAAAAAACTGAATAAAGATGATTTCATTGAAGAACTTTATTGCATGATCAAAAATCCTAAAAATAAAAAAGATAAAATAATCACATCTGTTGAGCATAGCAAAAAAAAAGTCCTTATTCTTTGGCTTTGATCTGCAAACGAATCATTTGAATTAGAATAAAAAGAAATACATTGGTAATCCCGAACTTTTCCGTACCGTTGGCCTGCGTTGTCCGTAGGTACTTTTGGTTATTTTTTTTTTGAATTTTCTTGAAATAAAGGCAGTGAAAATATAATAATAAAAATAAAGTGAAAAATCGGTCACTTTAACTAAAACTTCGACAATTTTGTATGGGAGGTACCCGTAAACCGATTCTTTAAGTACATTGAGGTACATCCGTTTCCGAAATTTCTTTATTTCTAGAGGTAAATTTGAAATTATTCGATGAAATGCATACGCAGCTACATAGGTACTGAACTATGAATAATTCTTCGACTCCTTTTATGATTATTCTGAAACAAATTGAGTTAAAATGTTTGTAAACCATTTATTCACGTCATTTCCAAGAATTTTTATATTTAGTTTGTAGAAACTGCACGTGTAGAAAAAGAGGTTCCAATTCGAATTATATAATAATATGCTATCATTGATACACAATTTTTAAATTGTGTACTGAACAATAATCTGCTTTTTGAAGAGTATTACCAACATGTATATATTCAAGCATTAAAATGTAAATGTTCCTATCTATTCGTAGAAAATTCCCATATAAAATCTATATTATATGGTTTCCCAGACTCACTTTCGAATTTTACCATACGTTTACATGGAATTCGAAATAACCTTTACAAGGCATTATATCGTATAATTTAGTATAATGAAATGAAATCCATTTGATGAGTTATAATTCAAATCCCTAGAAAGAGTAAATGAAGGTCAGTAATAAAGTAATAAATTATGAGTTATTATTGAAAATGAGCTTTGAAAACTTGAATTTCAAATCAAATGCCAATGGATTTTTCTGTGCAATTATTATATTATGTGATTTTAGTTTTACTTGGGTAAGCCAACTATACAATTATATTTTTAAACCTCTTAAAAAAAATTTAAACATTGATTGTTTTCCATGATCTATTACGTGGCCTAAACGAAATTAGATTTCATTAAGGATCCATTTTATTATCCCATTCACATTTGTCAAGTCGAATTCGTCGGTGAAATTGTTGTTCTCAAGGAAAATAAAAATGGTGTTTGAATTATATAAGGAAATATTGCTGAAAACTGGAATTTTAAGCAATTCCAATTTTAAAACCGTAACAATGGGTCCACGCCAATTTTTGATCGTTGGTATCAGCTGGGTTCTGCTGATGTTACATGGCATATACAGCATAGTTTTCATAATAAAGTTCAACACTGTTGATTTGGAAAACACACTCTTTGCCGTGCTACAAGTATCTCCAGCTGCTGCTATTATGTATTCGATAGTTGTGATTTATTTCCATCGGCACCGAATTCCTACCATTGCTGAACAAATTGAGGAAATTCAAGGTAAGTTTTCGGTCTACTTATCCATATGAAACATTTAATGTCAAGTGTATTCACTAAACAGATGAAGATAGCTTGAAATATACAATGGAGGCGAAAAAATGGGCAGATATTTTAACAAAAATCGCTGTATTTGGAATGGTATTGGCCGGAAATATTACTCTTTTAGGAATGGTACTTTTATCTTGTGTATATAGCTTCGCAGTATATGGATTTGTCGATGTATCACAATTGTATAATCCATTAAAATTAGTGTAAGTTAACAATATTCACCCAATGCTACTGGTGCCAAATATAACGTAATTGATACAATATTTAGAACGCCATGGAATCAAAATCAAATTATGGGATACATTTTGACTATTGCGCATTCCCACATTACTATAACGCTATGGGTGTTCGCTAACTCCATGATGTTATCATACTTTTGTTGCCTTTGCCTACAATTCCATGCGTTTCGACAACGGTTTCATTGCAAAATTGACACATTACAAAACATTTTATCCAATGAGACCGATCAAAATGGAATGGGTAAAATGTCGAAAGCCAAATTGCATTATGCTGAAGTTATCAAGTTTCATATACACTTCAAAGGGTTTGTTGAACGTTTTTCAAATAAATTGGTTCCCACACTGATTCATCCATTTTATTTCTCTTCAGTATTTTTGCACTAGTTGAAAATCTATACAGTGGAGTTCTATTTGTTCAGTCGGTTTGTGCGACACTTTATATTGCAACGAGCATCTTTCACCTAGAATTGGTATGCATAAAGAATACAGATGTTTGAGATTTCGTCCTATATTTGTATTCGTTCCTTCTGATTTTTATTCCACAGGCGTTGCGACATTTTGATGCCAACATTGGTTTGGTTTTTCTAAGTGTAATAGATGGTTCTCTCACTCTATTCTTCTACTGCTTTTTTTCCATTATGGCGACGGAAAGTTTTTCAAGCATATCCGACTGTCTCTACGATTCGCCATGGTACGAATTATCAAACAGCTTGAACCAATACGTTATCGTAATGATACGCGATGGAAACCTACCGTTATGTTTCAAAGGATATAAAATGATTTTGATCAATTTAGAGACGTTTCAAAAGGTGATCGTCATATGGATTTAATAAAATTAATTGTAGCATCATTTAAAATTTCGTTGATTTTTCATCCTATTCCAGATATTGCAGAAAGTCTTGAAATTTTACCTTATGTTCAAAGCCCTGACTACAAAAAACTAAAACAACACTTTTCATAACGTTTACATAATGTATGCCGTGTTTGTGGGGGAAAACAAAGATTTCACGTTGTCAGATATTGAAATTATTTATAAATTTTACTTCATGTGAAAAGCTTAAGCGTCAACTTATAATATTTGTTTTTGATATGTTCTGTGTCTATGTCGAAAACCTAAAAAATATTTTGATCTGTATGACTGAACATATAATAAAATGAAGCCATAGACGTTAGATTGGAAGCGTGCATGCGACAATATATTTGATTCTCACAGGTACCATCCGTCAGCCATTTGACCTGATAGTCAGGTTTTTTTCGAACAAAAATTGCTGTCAGGGCCTGTGTCAGACTTGTTTGGTTTTTCAAGTTTGAGTCAGGATTGTCAGGCTTTTCAGCTCAATGCAAATTTCAATACAAAAAGAAATATGTACACATTAAAACCAAAATCACAGACAAGAAAAATGAAAAGAAAACAATTGATATATGATATACTGACTAAGAGACAACAAACAGTTGAGATATCGATTATGTACTCAATACTATCAAAACTGCTCATTTATCTCATAGGCTGTGAATCACACTTCATATTGCTTCCACAGTAACGGCACATTCGATCGTTATTTACGTCGTTGAATTCGTTTATAATCCAAAGAAGTATAAACAAATTGAGCCACCAAAATATGTGGATTCAATTCAAGTATGAATTTTTAGTTGTAGACTCTACAATGTAGAGTGTAAGTGAGTATCGCGTACGTTTGTGTGTAAGCAATTGAATCATGTCAATGCATGAATTTCAAATAACAGCTAACCTTGAATTGCTACACTTGCTATTGATGATTTTTGTTTCAATTTTTGATTATTATCATATTTTTGACTCTTAAAAATGAAAAAAAAAAGTCAGGCTTTTTATCAGACTTTTCCTTACGTATGTCAGGTTTTTTAGCCAATTTTGCCCTGAAAAGTGGGCTTTTTCAAGAAAAGCTGATGGTACCATTACAGATACCGTACATTAGGTATTTCAACCAAAATGGTCAGGTATAAGGTTAGTTTCAAATTAATTTCATAACGATTGAACGATGTTTTGATGATAAGTGAAATTGATTTTTTTAATGAGCCTGGAAAGTATATGCGTAACACAACAACTCACTCAAGTAACGTTCAGTCCAGTGGAACAACAATCTATCAGTGAATTCCAAATCAATAAGCAAATTCGGCTACTTCATTCTAACATTCTTAACATTCCTTTACTGAGTTGATTTCGAATTTCCACATGGCGTTCTTTTTACATCGAAGAATATTGATGAAAGTGGGTGGATTAAAAAGTGAGAGCTGCATTTTGGTCTTGCGACAGATATTGTTTGTTCTTATCAATATGCTTATGTTGACGTTGATTGATATTTCAAGTTTTATTTTCATTATGAGATACATTTGGATTGATTTGGAGAGCGCACTGTTTGCTGTTTTACAAGTCTCTGCTGCAACAGGCTCTTTATACTCACTCGTAATGATAATAAGTTGCTATTTTAAGCGAATCATAAAAGTAGCCGAACAAATCGAACAAATCCAAAGTAAACTCTTTCACATGAATGAAATTTGCATTTATTTTCAAATATGTTTGTTTTATCGACTCAAATAGGTGAGGAGACTTCAGAGAGTACAAAGCAAGCGGAACAGGTAGGCGATATATTTGAAGGGCTAAATTTGGTGGCTATCGCTACGATCGGCTTTAATATCGGCGGTGTTTGTATATTGTTGAGACAATCTCCACTAAGACCAGAATAATAGATTATACAATTGAATAAATAAATGTCAAACCATATTTCAAGCTGCTACTCTTCCGAATTTAATGAAAATATGTAATGTCGCCCAATCCTTCTTTCAAACAGCTAAAAGTGTTTCGGTTGAATCTGAAAAAGAAATCATTATAATTCGAGTCATACAGACTTATGCGTAAAACTCTCGTTTTACCAATTCCTTCGGCACTCAGTTTCCGTGGAATCTTCGGTTTGGAATTGTATCAAAACTAACTTGAAAAGTAAATATCGTTTAATTATTAAAAATGATCAAAAGTCAATATATTGATTTAACAAACTTCGTAAGTGATTATCGTGGCCGCGACGCTTAGAATGAGTTTGCGAGTGAGAAAGAAAAATCGCATGCCAGTCAATGCGATGGTGTCATTAACAACATGTTCACAGAATCGACGTACTTCAGAGTTCCATGTATTTGTTGGTACAGCACGCAAAATGACAATTGGCTTCTTCGACTCGTCATGGATTTGTGATGAATACAGTGAAACAGCCAATGTTCGCGATAACAAAAATATAAATGAAAACCAGAAATAAATGGCATGTTGAATGGATGGCATCGGTCTGCGGAAACGAAAAAAAAACATTTTTTCAATGTATCCCATTTCGTGCACTTGCATACGTTACAAGTAAGAACGGTTTGGTGATTGACAAAATACCTAATCGCTCTCAGTAACTGGAGAGTGATGAAAAAAAGGTTATTGGAAAGGCTGAGCAAAGTAATTTGTGAAATGGCATCGTCAACCAAAACACAAAGGTCGGATAACTTGCGGTACTGCGTTCGACGTAATGCCCAAAAATCCTCTGACATTCGCTGAACGACAACAATTTGCATTCATTAATAATAAAATAAAATTGATTTTATGTTCCTAACCTTGCCTTTGACCCGTTCCAAATCTTCGTTGAGTTGTTTGAACCGTGATGATAAGCCCACACTTACTACCATCACGAACAAATCCATATAATTCCAAGCTTGGAAAATATGGAAAATATTAGTAAAGAATGAGAAAATTATAGTTCCAAGCGAAGTTACCGAACGTGGCGATGACATTCAAAAATTTGCCTAGAAACGAAAGCCATGGTGAATATGGTAAAAAAGTGTACATTTGCGACAACTGCACTCGGAAAAATTCTTTGATCGGCTTGTCCGGATCTAAACACGTTTGAGCATAATGTACGATTGAGATCATGTTCAAGGCGTGCTCAACTATCGAAGAAAAAAAAAACGAGAAAAAACACTTTAATCGAAATTTGCACCGTGAAATGTAGGTATTTATCTAGAATGAACCTAATGAAGTCATCAATATTATGATGCTTATCATTTTTATGCGTCTCGCTAGCTGCCTTTTCCCTGCTTGTGTACGATATTGTGGCATTTTTGCCTCAACAGACTCCCATCGTCGCATTATTCGAGGCCACTTCGGTGCCAATTGAATGAAACAAAATATTCCATAAACAGCTGACCCATAAAATATTACTGCAACTGTAAATGTAAAACGTTTGTCAGCACGAAGAAAAAGATAGTTTCTAAATTAATTGTCTCACTCATTCGACTGAATTTAATTTCGTGACTTGCAGTTATCCATACTGTCATTCCCATTATAATTAGCAAAAGAATGAACACAACAAAACTGTAAATGGTCCTGTAACTGTTCCACTTGAATTGTAGCTTGCACGCTGTCTTACTTTTAATACCAATTACAGGCATTATACCTAAAAAAAATAGATAATGGATAGAACTATAGTTCGATCACACACAAATTTCAATCACAAAAATATTTGTTGATTCAGAAAAAAATTCATACAGATTCGAATAGGTTTTACCAAAACATTGTGCCATAGCCAATAATGGACCGATTGCTTCCTGAAAGCTTCCATCAAATAAAAAATCCTTCCTTGTTGCTCGCTGCAACCATTTTACTTCACCTTGTGAATAAAAAGACTAGAATCAAAGTGAAGAAAAGACAAATATCGCATTTCATTTTACCCATGAACCATTTTCTTTGTGGAGATGACGAATTGGTTACAGCTAAAGGAAATCTATACAGTGATATTTTCATGTTTATTCTGTATCGAGTCTTTTGAAAATTCAAATGCTTACTTGTATATTCTTTGTTTGGAAGTGCTTTTTTTAATCCCATATTCTGATTTAACAACTCCATTCAAATTCGCCGTTTTTGGTGAATTTAACAAAAATCTCAACTGTTTCATTTCAACACACTTGACATTCTATTTCGTCAAAACAATGTGTTGTCGTTATTTGATCACAATAAAACCCCAGAGAATGACTGTCAAGGCTGAACAATCAACATGATGCATGCATATTTAATGCCATATTCGAAATTGATAAATATCTCGCGATAATTTTTTGTTTGAATGTTTTCCCTTCCAATCTATGGTTTATATCTTGAATTTTCAACTTTCAGTTTTCGACATTGCAGTCCAACTATGTGTGCACCATGATAATGCATGGGGTAATTTATCTGTAATTAATCACGAACATAGAAATAGAAACGCGAATATTTTGACACTGTATTAATTGAAAGAGATTTGGACTTTGTTCACATATTGATATTATCTACGCTCTTTGTGTGACAATGAAATCAAAACAATTAGCAGATATTTTATTTTATGTGGCCTATAGCCTATAGCAAAATTAAAGTGTTTTCATTCCGATTAAAGTCTATCCATGTCAAATGTTTGAATCTATTTCATTTTATTCATTTCATTGGACAAATACATCGAGAAGAGAGAGATTACAATAAAATAATTGTTATTGTGCTTAACTTGCATTTCGACAAACATCGGGCTTGAAATCTTCGGTGTGAAATTGTACCAAAACAAGCTAGAAGATAAACGATTGTTGTTTGACTCAGAAAAAGTTATTTGGGAAATAGTGTCTACGTACCTCGTACGTTATAATTGTCCCAGCAACAGTGAGAATGAGCTTTCGGGTAAGAAAGAAGAATCTCATGCCAGTCAATGCGACAGTATCGTTGACGACTTGTTCGCAAAATCGTCGAACTTCGATGCCCCAAGAATGATTCGGTACAGAACGCAAGACAATTATTGGCTTCTTCGATTCGTCATGGATTTGTGATGAATACAGTGAAACGGCCACTGTTCGTGATATTAAAAATATCAACGAAAACCAGAAGTAAATTGCATGTGGAATCGATCTCATAGGCCTAGTTCAAGTAATGCAAAATGATTTTTTTTCATGGTCATTTTCTTTCTTCTGAAAATACCTTATGCTCCTTAGCAGCTGAACGCATATAAAAAACAGGTTGTTCGAGAATGAAAGAAATGTTAGCTGGGAGATGGCATCATCGACTATAAAGCAGAGATTGCACAGTTTGCGGTACTGCGATCGTCTTAATGCCCAAAAATCCTCGGACATATGCTAGAAGATGAACAATTGTTGTTCAGCTCGGCGAAAGATAATGGAAAATCGTCATTATTTACCTCGCCCTTGACCCGTTCCAATTCTTCATTGATTTGTTTAAAACGCGACGACAATCCAACGCTTATCATCATCACAAACAAATCCATATAATTCCAAGTACTAAAAAAATCCAATTGTATGACATATAGTTCAAACTTGAAACTTCCAAGTAGCAATGATAGTTGTACTTACAACGTGGCAATAAGTGTCGTAAATTTGCCTAAAAATGCAGCCAAATGGGAGTATGGCAAAAAGGCAAAGAGTTGCGACAGTTGTGTTTTTAATAATTCTTTGAACGGATCTTCTTGACGTAAGCAATATTTCGAATAGTGAACTGTTGAGAATATAGTTAGACTGTGTTCCACAAACGAGCACATTAGTACCACAAACTACAAATAAAATGATCAAAAATACATATACTTGAATGAACTTTGAAAAAGCGAATTACCGATAACATTTTCACATGATGAGCTAATTTTGCTTTTTCTCTTTTATTGCGATACTTCGGCATTTTAGCTTCAATAGTTTCCCAATGTCTCATAACTCGAGGCCATTTCGTCGCTAGAATATTTGCGAATTGAAAAAAGTAAGAATTGAAGTTCTAAATGAAAATAACATCTGCAACTACCCAGTATCCCGAAACAGATCGCCCCATACACAGCAGACCCGAAAAATACCGCTGGAACTGTATACCGGAGTTATAGTGTCGTTTTAAATGCAATACTACGAAACTTACCCACTCGATCGAATTGGATTCGACCCTCAAATGATACTATAACGGTCATTATCGCATAACCCAACAAGAGTAGAAACACAACGAAACTGTACACAGTTCTGACACTGTTCCACTTGAATCGCAACTGTGAGGCTGTGCGCGTCTTGACACCCACAACAGGCATCAAACCTAGAACGGATCGAAGATTTAGATTCAAAAAGATCCAAACGCATATATGTATATCCATAGGATTATAGTTTGATCATACACAATTTTCAATCCCAAAAGAGATTTGTCAAATTCAAAAAGATTCATAAAGATTCGAATAGATTACCAAAACATTGAGCCAAAACCATGGTTGAACCGATCGCTTCTTGAAAGCTACCATTGTACAGAAAATCTCTTTGCGTTGCTCGTCGAAGCCATTTGATTTCACCTGCATCAATATGAGATTTCGTTACTGTCTAGATAAGTGATAATGTTTAACTTACCCATTAACCATTTTTTGAGCGAAGAAATAGAGTCTTGGAGATTAAAGGGAAATCTACATATGCAATGACAATGAGTCATTATTTTCTCTTCGATTTGTAATATTGTTTTTTTTTTTTGATGAGCTATTTGCTTTCCCTCGTTACTTACTTAAAGTTTTTGGTTTTCGAAGTAGTTTTTTTGATTCCATTCTCCGCTATAATAACTCCGCTTGAGCTCACTTTCTCTTCCGTTGAGTGCAACAAAAACCGCAACTGCTTCATTCTGAATCACTTTCTGATCTATTTTATTTTCACTTTTGCTTGTACGTATTGAAAGAAACAGAATTAGGTTCTATCCCAAGGTCGAAAAATGAGTCATATGTTGTGGACACAGCTTTGATTGACATGTAAAATCGATTCCGTGATCAAACATATAATAATAAATAAATAAGTATAAACGTATAATTTTAAATCATTAAAACCAGTACTTGAAAGGGAAGGAAAAATTGTGGTTCACATTTGAAATGGAAATGACATTGGAAATTATTGGACTTGATGGCCACCAATTTGTATGTGCGGTTCCAATGATAAAAATGTGAAAATTACAATCAAAATAGAATTAAAACCACGACTTTTCCTAAACAACACACTTTATTCATATGCATTATGATAATATCTACAAAATACAGGTCACGCAGATGAGAGCAATTGAAAGGAAAAGTTGATGAACTTTTAATTTGAATGAAAAACACATTTATCGAAATGACCTATCTAGCGTACCCTTTAAAATTGCTTTATAGCAGTAATTTTGAAGCCATCAAAACGAGAATGAGTGTGTTATTTCTAAATTAAATCGATTAGATTTGAAATTGAATTTCATCACGTAAACTAGAAAGCTTGTGCTTTATCTTTGAAGTAATTTAGTACTAAACATTTTTCTATTCAAATATTTGTGTTTAAACATCACAAAGTCACAACAACGCAGTATGGTGTGCACCTTTTTTTATGTGTCTGTATTTAATTGCAGCAGAACAAGTTCATAAGTCGCTATAGCCCCAGCAACGGTCAAAATCACGTTCCGTGTAAGGAAAAAAAATTTCAATCCAGACAATGCAACGGTTTCATTGATCACCTCTTCAGAGAATCGATAAGTTTCTTTGCACCAAGAATGATTTGGTACTGCTCGCAAAACGGTGATGGGCTTCTTCGACTCGTCGTGAATATGAGACGCAAATAATGACACAGCAACTGTTCGTGTTATCAAAAATGTCAATGAAAACCAAAAATAAACTTTGTTCAGAAACGAAGGCATTTCCCTGAAATTTCAGATAAGAAATATAAGCGGTACACGGTCATAAAATACATACACGGTCATAGAATGCTGTAAATTTTACAACTTAACTTGCAAAATGATTTGACTATATACTGACTTTATTGATCTCACGATTTGAACGCACACAAAGAATAGGTTATTCGCAAATGTGACGAAAATAATTTGAGAAATTGCATCGTCGACTGCAAAGACCAAGTGTACTACTTTACGGTATTGAATTCGTCGCAACATCCAAAATCCTTCAGACGTGTACTTCAAAAAGAAAATATCAGCATTAAATAATGAATATACTTCTAGTGAATTTGAAGACAAGTCATTACTTTGCCTTTCATCTGTTGCAAATCGGCATTGATCTGTTTGAACTGTGATGCAAGACCAATACTAACGACCATCACTTGAAACGATTTTTTTAAAAATTAAAATCATATTTGTTTTTTGTCTTAGTTTGAATGGTTGATTGAATACCAAAAAGATCCATGAATGACCACGTGAACGTTACAACTACATTGAACCACTTGCTCAAGATTGCCTTCCACCATGTCAGTTTAGTTAGCGTGAAAATAAGTGGTATTTGAACGTCAAAAAGCGTTTCCAATGGATCCTTTTTCTTGCTAAGGGCTTCCATTATTATCGATACCATATTCAGAATATGCTCCACTATCAAATAGAAAAGTATCGATAATATTTTCACTTTTTTTTTTCAAGTAAAACAACCATACCCAGGGCAATAGATAAAACAATCCATGAAACTTTTCGAATTTTACGGCCGAGTAGTTTTTTTTCGTCAAAGCTGCGATATGGCGGCAATATTGCTTCCACAAATTCCCAGTGTTGCATTAATTTCGGCCATTTTCTCGCCAATCGAATGAAACTAAACACACCGTATGCGGTAGTTGTGAAAAATGTCAAAGGGACTATATTGAAAATTAGAAGTAGACTATATTAGAATATTTTTTCTACAAATAATTGCCTTGTGACGATCAGAGCAAATTTAGATACAAACCAACTGAATTAAATGTAACGGGTCTTGTCAATGTTATGCATGTAGCGAATATAGTGTAGAATGCAGCAAAAAGGAATGCTGTTACACTGTAAATGGTGCGAAAACTCTTCCAAGTGAATCTCAGTTCAAATGCAGAGCTCCCCTTTATGCCAATCACAGGTAAAACACCCAATGATTGTGCCAATACCAATACAGAACCAAACGCTTGGTGAAAACTACCATTGATAACCAACACATTTCCCGTTGTGCGAGACATCGTTGATAAAACTTCTGCAATTATGATTACATAAATTTAAAGTAAAATAGTCGCTAAGATATTGTACTGCTTATAAATTTGTGTGTATGCTTACCAAAAAACCAGTATCGACATTGACTGTTAATGTTCGATGATGTTGCATCTAGGTGTGATCTAGAGTTTGGATAAAAGCTACAACTACCGAAATTTTATTTATTGTAAATATATCAACTTCAATTGGAATTTTGGATAATACTTATTTGAGCGGGCTTTTGATTCCGATGTCCATGCTGCATTTTTGAAGGTGGGCTTTTTCTTATTGTATCGCTTTCGAAATTTCGCCTTCAAGAAGAACTGTCTCATTGTGATACAAAATTTTAGCTGCAATTTAATACAAAAGTCATGCACATTCCGTAGAGCACTAGAGCACAAACTAAAAATTTGGATTAAATGCCCACATTTGAACCTCCGTTCTATCGTTTCATGTTGAGCTAATGATATTCAAAATATTCCAGAAACAACGCAAACAACGTGTAATTGTACCATTGATATTTATCCAATTGACACGAAACGTTTGGCGTATCAAAGTGTCAATGCCTAGTCAAATATCAGGCATTTTTTCAAAAATAATTTCCAATTCGTGTTCAAGAACCAGACTATGAATAGTTTCCATCAATAAATCAAATGAATTTTGTTTTGAATCTGAAGCCAATTATCCGCAATTATGACCAAAATAGGAGTGCATGAATATGGTGAAATAAACAAACAAGAGCTATTTCGTTTAGTAGTTTATTCGAAAACAACCTAAAATCGAATAAATATCCTAATCGCACAAATCGTATGACAAATATTTGTATCCTTTTTATACCCTATCAATCTGCATTATAAAATGAATGTTTCGATTTGTGCTAACAAATAAAGGGGCTGGAAACATTGAAAATGGCCCGTAATTATAGTGTTCTATTGAAAGCAGTGTCACATGGTTGGTCTGGAGTTGTGTTTGATTGAAGCTGCAACAGGACAAGTTCATATGTTAAAATCATTCCAGCTGCCTGGAATGGAATAAACCAAATTGATATATCAAATATTTTCCAAAATGCAATTTTTTTTTTTAACTCACGCTCAAAATCAATTTTCTGGTAAAAAAGAAGAAATTCATTCCCGACAAGGCTATAGTTTTTCCATTCACTTCATCGACAAAGCGTTTTGTTTCAGTGTTCCACAAATGCGAAGGCACAGCATACAGAATATTGATCGCTTGCTTCGATGCGTCATGGATATGGGCTGCCGAAAGTGAAACTGCCACAGCACGCAATATGAGGAAAACGATTGAAAACCAAAAGTAAAACATATGAACGTATGTTGGCATGGGTCTGTGTGCAGAGAGAAAACATAAATGTCTATACATAGGATTTTCCAATGAATTAAATGAGGTACACCTAAAAGCCAGAAATAGCTGCTTGCAGATGAAAAATAGGTCATTTGAAAATGCGATCATTGTACACTCTGTTACTTTTTCATCCACCATAGTAACTAAATCACGTAGTTTGCCATACTGCGAACGACGGTATATCCAGTATTCCCGTGACTTATTCTGAAATAAAAACGGAAAAGTTGACAACACTTTTTTCCACTTTATCTAAATAATCAAAACCATACTTCTCCATTCGTTCGCTTCAAATCTTCATTATACAATTTGAACATTGTAGATAGTCCAATGCTAATCATGATAATGAATACATCCAGAAAATTCCAGACGAAGGTCGCAGACACATTTATGAACTTTTCACAAACAAAGACGAAAATCTTGTTACCGGATGGAAACAAATATGGAGATTGCAGTTTCAATATCTCTTTTATTGCATCTTTTTGTGTTCTACACACAAGCTCAAAATGCAATGAGGACGCAACACTCAAGACGTGTTCAACTGAAATCAAAGACAAATTAATACTCAAATCAATGAATAATTACAGTTTAAATTGGGTTAACAAAAAAGATTGAAACCTAATGCCATGGCAAGAATGATGAATGCAACAGATCGAAGTTTAAATATGAAGTTTCTTCTCTGCCTTCGATTACGAAAAGTCGGCAGTTTTGTTTCGGCAACTTCCCAGTGTGTCATTAATGCAGGCCATTTTATTGAAATTCTCAATAAACATATTAATCCACAAGTATTTGATGTGTAAAACAATAGAAATGCTATAAAATCATAATATGAATAAAATATTAAGCGATAAAAAATGGAACGAACTATTTAACTAAAAGCTAATATTTTTAATTCAATAACAAACCAATGGATGAAAATTCAACTTTCGATGCGAATGTGTTCCAAGCCGCTGTAGCAGTATACGCAGCCAAAATCGCTAAAACAAGTAAACTGTGAAAAGTTCGCAGACTTCTCCAATTAAAGCGCAGATTGGCGATCAAACGACTCTTAATTCCAGCTACAGGCAAAACTCCAAAGAGTTGACCCACTAAGAGAATGGGCCAAATCGCTTCGCGAAAATGACCTTCGAAAAAAAAAAATTCCACCCATTTTGCGATTTATTTTCCAATTCTCGGCCCGAATCGAGTGGAATCGAGCGATTTTCTCTGCATTTTTTTATTTGTGTGGCCTTTTTCTCGTCTACATTTAGAATCCAAATATGTTTTTTTCATTTTCAGCTTTATTTCAAATGTAAGAAAACCTGAAAGTGCTCAAGATTTGTCAATTGACAATTGAAAAGTAGCATAAATAGAGTTTTCAGTCTTTATTCAGTAATCGCACTGTTCTTGTTGAGCAAAGCAATTTTCCAATGTGTTTTGTGTAGCTACTAGCGTTTGTCAATTGTCAATTGTCAATTGACAAACCGTGAGCACTTTCGGGTTTTCTTACATTTGAAATTAAACTGAAAATGAAAAAAAATTGTTTGGATTCTAAATGTAAACGAGAAAAAAGGTCACACAAATCAAAAATGCAGAGAAAATCGCTCGATTCCACTCGATTCGGGCTAAGAATTGGAAAATAAATCGCAAAATGGGTGGAACAATTTTTTTTTGCACCAAAAGTAATAAGATACTTATTACTTTACTTCTATGGAACGACATCTCTGACACCTAAAATTAGACTAACATGAAATGTCTGCATAAGAGATTATTTTCACTTACCATGCGAATAAAAATTGGGTGCTGACGGTATCCAACATTGATTCGACGATGACCATTTTTTTCTGAAATTATTTTGAAATTTCTTGTTTGTTCTTTTGTCCATCTGAACATCTAAAATTACCGGTTGAATCCATGGGTGAAAATTATTTCCCGCATTTGTAAGAAGAAAAATATTTCGTTCCACTAAATAATGGTTTACTTCGTTACTCTTCTCAAATTCAACTGTTCACCGTTTTCGTATTGAAATTGTAGCGTACAGCTCATGAAAATACAATATCAACACAAGCAGCTTATTTTATGAGCTATTGGAAATGACTTATTTCACTGCTACATAGAACAATTACTTAAATTGATGTTGATTTAACATTGTCGATCGAATTTCCAAAATGACCGGCATTACTTGGGCTGAGATTGAGCTATTGACTGAGATTGAGAGTAGAGAATGTGACATACTCACCCTTTGAAAAACATAATTCGGAGAGAAAACGTATTCTCCTATACTTTGGGTATATGATTGAGACAATATAATGTCCGTTATACGCGCGGACTATTGTCCACTGTGATTAAATCAATGCAAAAACAGTTTTATTGATAGTTCAACCATAATTGACAATCTACATGATTATTATTCATTATGTTGTTTCAAGGACTATGATTTAAGTGTGCATTTTAATCTGATTGAAGTGTTAGTATCAATAAAATCATTTCTCATAGTGAAATACACTGTAATAAACGTTAATTTGACAACTAAATTGGATCCCACTTTACCCTTTTTAAATATTCCAAAAACGCAATTTACTTCACACGATATTCAGGAATACAAACGTAAATTTCACTCCAAATTACTATATACACGCATTTAGATACAATCAATTGATGTGAAACTAATCATTTTAAGAGTTATCGTAAAAATGGAACTGTAGTAGAATGATTTCATACGTAGCAATTGTGGCCGTGACCTAATGTCGAGAGAATATTATAAATAACCAAAATCGTTTGAAAATATTCGATGGCTAAGCCTTATTATTACTTACACTCAAAATGAATTTCCGTGTAATCAAGAAAAACTTCATTCCAGACAAAGCAACATCTTCGCTGATCACATCGAAGTAAAATCGAGTTGTTTCACCTTTAGAGTTGTTCCAGGATTCAGATGGCACATCTTGCAAAATACTAACTGGCTTCTTCGATTCATCATTGATGCATGCCGCAAAAAACGAAACGAAAAATATGCGCATGATGAGATAAATAAAGGAATACCAGAAATAAAGCACTCGCAACCATGTTCCGAATCCATGTCTGCAATCAGAAAGGGAAATTATTTGAGCACAGTATTTCTGCAGGAATTGAAAACGAAAGGCTGAACACTCACCTGCTGGCGTTATAAAGCTGCTTACATGTAAGAATAAGATTGCTTGTGTACGAAATCAAAGATAGGAATGCAATTTTTTTGTCAACCACAGCGACCAAATAGCACAAATTCGCATATTGTGACCGTCGACGCATCCAAATTTCTACGGGCACATTCTGTAACAGATGCAAAAATTTCATAGAATTTTAATCTCAAATAAGTTAGGAAAAATGTGTACCTTTTTTCTTATGCGTTCGAGCTCATCATTAAATAGCTTAAAATGTATAGATAATCCAATGCTAATTGCCATAATAAATATATCTGTAAAATTCCACAGCACTGTAGCGATGAGACTCAAGCTCTTTGCACAAATCATATTCCAAATCGATGGTTGTTCGTCAAATGTGAAGAAATATGGAACTTGAGCTTTAATTAGTTTTGTAAATGGGGCTTTATCGTCAAAATCCCAATGAGAAACCATACTTAAAGTGTGTTCAACTGAAATTTAACAAATACTGGCAATTGTTCCGCTGGTAAAGTGACATTGAAAAAGATACTTATTGCCAAAACCGTAATGATGGCTAAACGTAGTCGGATTTTAAAGACAAAATCATCCTTTTGCCTTTTACTCTGAAAAGTCGCCAGATTTCGTTCAATATTTCTCCATTTCTGGATTAATCCGGGCCATTTGCGAGCTAAAGCTAAGAAACTCCAAATTTCACACGAACCAGATGTAAAGAATATTGTCGTTGCTGGAAAAATAACCATCAGTCTTTCATGTTATTTGTTATAAAACAAACAATAACCATAAATATCAATCAAACGTACCAACAGTGCTGAATGTTTCATTTTTTGTATGCAAAACTGTAAACAGCAATAGAAGAGAATAGGATAGCAGAACAGTAGCTATGATTAAACTGTAAATCGTGCGTAAACTTGTCCATTTAAATTCGAGCTTAGAAATCGACCTCACTCCATTCACCGGCATTATTCCAAAGCATTGGCCAACGGCAAGAAATGGCCATATTGCCTCACCAAAACTTCCTCTAAGATAGTCGTGTTGGTCTGACAAGGAAAAGAAACTCTTAAATAACATTTTCTCGTTTTTACTTCAAGGATAATATGAACCGTATGTAGTCAACATGTTGGATCTTGTTAGTTCGAAACGTTCTAAAAAATATTCTACTCTTGAGATACAAATAAAGTTCGTTTGGGAACTGTTGAGCAATGACTGAAACCCTCGTTCTTGCCTTCTTTCTTAATTGAATTATTCTGAAATGGCTGCCTAGAAAATAGGACAGAGCTAAGATAGCTATCGGAAATAGCCTATGCATTTAACAATTTGCGAGTTGGAATTCATTGTTCCGGCCATGAGGGATTGAAACGAATAAAATGTACATATTCGTAGCTTCGTAGGCTTTTCATATATGTTTTTTCTATTAATTTACAGCAGATACAATCTTTTTTATTGGACAACTTTGTCATAATTAGAGTCGTATGTCAATTCAAGTTAAAAACAATGGTAGAATTCACATGGGAAAATTATTAAGAAGATAACAGTACACTAGATGTATGGAATGTTGATAACATTTATCAAATCGCATGAACATTTTGTCTGAGATAGAATTAAAATAGATGTGAATAATCAACAGATGTTGATTGGTGACTGTTATAAAGTTGGAATTCTATCAGCACAACTCCATAGATGACAATTGCTTCGATTACGTTCAAGATAAATTTTCGGGTTAGAAAGAAAAACCTCATTCCGGAGCGTATCAAAATGGCATCATTGTAAAAGCTGCTTACATGTAAGAATAAGATTGCTTGTGTACGAAATCAAAGATAGGAATGCAATTTTTTTGTCAATTGCAGCGATCTGTGTTGGTAAATTTCCGTATTTCGAGCGACGTGTAAGTAATTTACTTAAGAAACTAGCTGATAAATAATTATTAAATATATGTCAACTGCAGTGAATTGTAAAAAATGGAATGATTCCCGAAACAAAACAGTAAATGACCGTTTGAACGAATATGAATAAATTTTATTTGTTAGTTATTTTGCTAAACTTATACTCAGAAATGTAACCTATGAAAACTTGTTAATACTCTACACAAACAGCACCCAAGTGCGAACGTCACGTCTTTTAAAAGACGTGGTTCACGATAAATGGTATAGCTGAAAGAATAAGCGGCAGCTTTCAACTATTCTCCACTTCCATTGGATTTCAACGGTAAAAGTGCATCTAATGTAATGGAAACTAAATGCAAGTGGAGACGGTGTGTAAAAAATAGTGTAGAAAAACTTTTAAAATAGGGAAGGTTCTTTCCCTCACGTCATTCTCGCGTATTCTGTGTACCATTGCAAAGAAGATGCACATCCTTCAGACAGGAAATTATATAAAAGACGTGATAAAGGCGTGAATACGTGAACCACGTCTTTTAAAAGACGTAGCGTTCATACTTGGGAAGAACCAAAAGTGGCCTACTTCTTCGTATGCATGGATTGTGTATCACATAAACTCTGCGGTGTCATTGTGCTACATTATGCAATACCGCTAAAAAGAAACTATTTGTCAGTAGTAGGGCACTCGGCTATATCGTTCGTTGTTTGATTTTTATTCTTTCTACTACGACGTTACATTGTTCCATTGGAAAGAACAGTATCTTCATGAATCGTGCTGCATTCATTTTTCTTGTAATAATTTTCAGCCAGAGCTTGGCAGTGGAATGAAATAAAACAAATAAATACGATAAATTCACGTTCATTCAAAGAATTTACCAATCGTTTGTACATAACATGAAATAATTGTTGAACATAACTCGATCACAAGTCAATCCACATTTCTACTGTGCATGTTATTAAAATCGTGATTATTAATTACAATAAATTGTTATCGTAGACTTATGAATATCAAGAATGATATTTATCGGGATTTATTTGTTGTTGTTTGAGCTCAACTGGAACTGCATCATAACCAGCTGAAAACAGCAGAGCACACATTCAGAACGTCATGACCGAAAAGAATAACATAGTTTTGAATTCAGTTTATTCAGTCAAATTAAAGCCGAAAATGGATGTGAAAAGAAAACAAGCGATTCAAACCTCATACGTAACGATTGTCGATGCAACACTCAAGATCATCTTTCGAGTCAAGTAGAAAAACTTCATTCCAGATAATGCGACTGTACCACATTTAACTTCATCAAGAAAACGTTTCGTCTCTGTATTCCACGAATAGGAGGACACTGATCGTAAAATCCTGATGGGCTTTGTCGATTCATCGTTGATACCAGCCGCAGTAAATGACACCAAGAATGCCCGCATCAAGAGGAAAAGTAATGAGTACCAGAAGTAAATTAGGCGATAAACTGTTGCGCGTGACCTAGAATGAAGATTTTAATGCGTTATCTTGGTACCACATTTAAATCAAAAGATTGAAGTGAAAACTTTGAAATTTATGACAGAATAAGGAGTCTTATCTGATATATCATCTGTTCAAATCACCTCAAACTTGAAAATAATTGCTGGCAGATAGTGAAAATGTTGTTCGAGAATGAAACAAATATAATATGGGATATTCTCCTGTCGACGATATTAACCAAGTATCGTAACCGCCTATATTGCTCTCGTCTATACACCCAATACTCCGTAGACATATGCTAAAGATTAAGGTCACAATTTTATAAATAACAAACTTTTTTTTGCGTTTTATTACATAATCTACCTGTCCCACTGTTTGTCTCAGTTCGGAATTGAATAATCTGAATTGCGTCGAAAGTCCAATGCTAATGACCATAATAAATATATCCAAAAAATTCCACGAAAAGGTTGCAATTACGCTCGGAAATCTGAAAAAAATGACTTCCCACATATAATGTTTCTTCTCAGAATGGAAAAAGAGGTCCGGCACATCCATCTTAAATAATTCTAGAAATGGAGACTTTTCATTGCGAGACACAGCAAGGAAATGTACCATTGATCCGATGCTTAGCAAATGCTCAACTGAAATTGATAGAAAAATAAGATAAGTTTCATCCTTTGGTAGAAATCATACAAAGAAATACTCAAGGCCAGAAATAGAACAACAGTTGATATGAGCCTAATTTTCCGCACAAAATTCGACTTTTGTTTTTGACTACGGAATGCTGGCGACTTAGATTCAGAGTTCTCCCAAATATGCATAACTAACGGCCATTTTCTAGCCAAAGCCAAGAAGCTAACAAATCCGTAAGTATTTGATGTATAAAATATTAAAGACCCTGGAGAAAGAAAAAATCCGCCAATTGAAATGATTTTGAAAAAATGTGGAAGTGATTTCGGTACTTGGTCTTTGTAAGTATCGTTCACTGTGAAAGAAATTATTTTCTGAATTACAAACCGATTGATGACAATTCGGTTCCTACAGTAAATTTGTCCAAAATCAGCAAGGATGTGTAAAATATAAAAATGACTGCAGTAATCAAGCTGTAGATAGTACGAAAACTTTTCCACTTGAATTGAAGCTCAGATAATTGGCGACTCTTGACACCGATGACTGGTAACAGACCGAAAAATTGACCTATGATAAGAAAAGGCCAAATCGCTGCTCTGAAACTTCCTTCGAAGCAGTGATTTTCGACTAGAACAAGGGAATTGTTACTGTAGTATTAAATTAACTTTCGATATTCTAAAGTGTTTACCATCAAAACAATCGTTTTGTGGTGAAGGTAGCCAGCTCGATAATATCGACGTTTGTCTGAAAATGTTCTCTTTCATAAATTATTTATTCGAAATTGTACCGTTTTGACTAACCTGTTTGACCGTTGATTGCAAACCAATTTCCTCAGCTTGGAAGGAAAAAAAGTTTTCTTCTGATTGTTCATACTGTTTTACTTGACTTAACGGATAGTTAATGTGTGATTCATTAATATCTACATTTTCATTTGTTGTTAACGTAAAACACTTAAAATCTTTATAAAAAACAGTAATTCGAAATCACCACTGTCATGTTCTCTTTTCGAACCTATTATTTTCAAAATTTTGCTCTCATTTATTTTACACAGTATCCGATTAAAGACTCGTATTTTTTGGGTTCATGTTAAACGACTGAAAAAACTAAAACATCCAATGCAGGACAGAATCCAAATCAATATGATATTCATTTTCAATACTTTAGCCATTTATACATATTTTGTAGCAATATACAAGGGAGCTTTTCACACTAATGCTGAATAAATATAAACCACAACATGAAAATACTTCAAATATGAGAAAATACTTCAATCAATTATAAAAACTATTAAAAGAAACATAAATATAATGTAACTATGTGGAAATACACTATGATTTGGGCAAAAAATAATATTGAACAATATTTTTGGGTTATTGAATTGTTCAAAACAAACCACTAGATGTTGTTTACTCATACTAATTTGATTCGGTCTGAATGTTACACTTTGTCAATAACAATAATAGTTATTCCTGTTCGCCACCCTAAGTATTTTGTTAACGACAAAATTCCTTTTCTCCCCTTCACAAACTTGATATATCAACCTATGCGTCAAAGCTAAGGTGGAGTAAGTAATGCAAATGCCGATATGCGTAATATGCTCATGAGTCATGAACAAGCTAAGCAAGTTGCTGTTTGATTTCTTGGGAAGGGAAAAAAATCACAAAAGTTCTGTTTATTAAGACGCTATTGGTTATATAAAAATATCCATTTGGAAATTGGAGATGTATATAATTTGTTGAAATAACGACAGCTTAATAAGAAAGTTCTCTTACATCGCAATGATTTTTCAAATACGTTTTTTAAAGAAATACTTTTTTTTTCTATTTTCAAAATGAAACGAAATCAAATACATTACATGAAACACATTCACATCGAGGTGCAAGTGTATTAGTGTGTGGCCATTGGTTATAATATATTAAGATAGGACGCTAACGGGCCCTTACAGTGAATTGTTATCGTAAACTTAGAAATGTTTACATAAGTTATTGATTAAGATTTACATATTGATATTTCATCATAGCTCAATTGGAACTGCATCAAAATCAGCTGGAAGTCAACACCAACAAGAGCACAGAACATATCCAAAACGCCATGACCGAAAAAAACAACATTGTTTCGAATTAAAATAAAGCCAAGAATAGATAGATGAAGGAAGACAAGTGTATCGAACCTCATACGTAACGATTGCTGATGCCACGCTCAGGATTATCTTTCGAGTTAAATAGAAAAACTTCATTCCAGATAATGCGACTGTACCACATTTAACTTCATCAAAAAAACGTTTCGTCTCTGTATTCCACGAATAGGAGGACACAGATCGCAAAATTCTGATGGATTTTGTCGATTCATCGTTGACAGCAGCCGCAGTGAATGCCACTAAGAATGCTCGCATCAAGAGGAAAATTAGGGAGTACCAAAAATAAATCATGAGGTAACTCGTTGGATGTGGCCTAAATTTGAATGGAGATTACAATACGATATATTGTTTCTAGAATCAAATCGAAATGTTACCTAAAACTCGAGAATAATTGCTGGCAGATAGAAAACATATTGCTCGAGAGTGAAAATAATAGAATATGAGAAATTCTTTTGTCGACGATATTAACCAAGTATCATAACCGCCAATATTGCTCTCGTCTATACACCCAATACTTCATAGGCATATGCTAAAGATTAAGGTCATTTAAGTATGAATAACAAACTTTTTTTTTGCGTTTTATTACATAATAATCTACCTGTCCCACTGTTCGTCCCAGTTCGACATTGAATAATCTGAATTGCGTGGACAGTCCAATGCCAATAACCATAATAAACACATCCAGAAAGTTCCACGAAAAGGTTGCAATCAAGCTTAGAAGTCTGAAACAAATAGCTTCCCACATATCATGTTTTTTATCAGTATAAAAAAATTGGTCAGGCACATTCGTCTTGAATAATTCAAGAAGTGTAGAATTTTTATTGTTGCATACAACATGGTGAAACATATCTGCACCGAAGTAAAGTAAATGCTCAACTGAAATCGATAGAAAACAAGATTAGTTTCTTCCTTTGAACGAAATCATACAAAGAATTACTTAATGCCAGAAATAGAGCAACGATCGAAAAGAACCTAATTTTGCGCACGAAATTCGTCCTTTGATTTTGACTACGGAATGTTGGCAAATGCTTAGATTCAGTTTCCTCCCAAATACGCATAACCGAAGGCCATTTTCTAGCCAAAGCCAAAAAGCTTACAAATCCGTAAGTAGTTGACGCATAAAATATCAAAGCCCCTGAAAAAGAAATTTCGTTCAGCAAAGCTGTTGTTGAAATTTCCACTAACCAAACGGTAAATAAAAAAAAAAGTTGAAGTATTTCGGTACTCAGTCGTTGTGTAAGTATAGTAAACCTATGATGGCGATAAAATCGCGGTATAATAGCTTCAAATCGACTTATTTCTAGGTAATTTTTCGCAAGAAATCCAAATATACTTGTATAAGTACACTATAAGTGGTTCTTTTTTGGGATATTTAATCTCATAAGTGCAGAAAAAATCAGCAGAAAATGTTTTTCGATTCTCCATAAAAAAAATCGATCCATCCTATTGTTCACTGTGATATAAATTATTTTCTGACCAACAAACCGTTTGATTCCTTTCCTGTGATGAATTTTTCCAAAAACAGTATTGATGTGTAAGATATAAAAATGAATGTAATAATCAAGCAGTAGATAGCACGAACACTGTTCCACTTGAATTTAAGCTCAGATAATTGGCGACTCTTAACACCAATGACTGGCATCACTCCAAAAAATTGACCAATTGTAAGGAAAGGCGAAATTGCTTCTCTGAAACTGCCTTCGAAGCTCTGATTTTCAGCTAGAACAAAGGAAATTTCACTGCATTAAATTAACTTTCGATATTTCAGAATGTTTACCATCAAAACATGCATTTTGTGGTGAAGGTAGCCAACTCGATGACATAGGCGTTTGTCTGAAAATATTCTGTTCAATAAATTAGTTTCTATAAATGGTAGAGATTTGGCCAACCTGTTTGACTGTTGACTGGAAATATATTTTTTAACTTTGAAGGAAAAAAGAGTTGTTTTTTGATAATTCATTTCAGTATATTATTTATTAGTAAATCTCCACATTTTCACATCGTTAACGACAAAAACACGGAAAAATAATTATAACAACAGTAATTTAAAATCACCACTGTCTATTTCTATTTCATCCTTTTATTTTGAATTTTTTTTTCAATTTGTTTCACTTTGAATTTTACTTAAAGTATGATTTTTAATTTCGTATTAGTCGAATAACTGAAAAACATCCAAAGCAGGGCACAATCAAAATCAATGTGATACTTATGTTCAATACTTTTTATGTAGCAATATAAAATAACAATGTAAAAACACTTCAAATAAAAGTTTAATTAACGACAAAAACTATCAAAAGAAACATAAATACTATAATGTGACCAGTAAAGATCCCATAGTGTTACACCTCGATTTCCAAATGCCTATGCACGTGAGGCATACCCCGAAAAAACATTTGCGTCTCCATATTAATATCAAAAAATTAACCTGAAGATCAAAAAACTTCCTTTCCAACTGCGCCTAATATCAATTTGCACCTAATCTCGTAGATGATTAGTTTGGAGCGAAAATGTAATACCGAAAAGTTGAGCGGGAAAATGTCGATGATGAATGAGCGGAAAAGGGTAAACTGTAGTAGTAAAAGTGGGTAGTAAACTGTATAGTAAACTATAGTGAACCATATAGCTATCTCTTTTCATTTGACATTTTTCCTCCCAACTTTTCTGTATAACATTTTCGCTCCAAACTACTATCAATTCGCTAATGCATCGAAAGTTATTGAAAGACACATTTACTTAGTACAAAAAATGCTCATGTTTCATTAAACACACCCAGAAAAACTTTTGTTTAACATTGACGACATCCATTATGTGAAAAAGAAGAAGCAGTATCATCGACAAAAATTGTATCGGTACACACCGATGATACTTACACGATGCGAAGATCATTACATATTAGAGTAAGTGCTGTGAAACTTAAATGAATATTGGTTGAATATATGTACGGTTGAGCTAAAAGATGTTATTGGCTGTCTCACTTACAGAAAGACATATTAAAGACAAAACATTATCGTTCGGCAGATAATGCTACAGTTTTATGAATAACTGTGAATACTAAAAACGTTTCTTGGAGATGGAAATAATCATTAAAAGTTCTCTTTGTTAATAATAAGTTATTGGCTATACGAACATTACTCCTTGGAAGTTGGAGGGCGCTGAGAATAAAAATGGAAATACAGATCTGTTACAGAGAGAATCTAGAGTGAAAAAATTGTTTCTCAAAAATGTTACATGGGTTTTCAACCAACATGAGCGTAACATGAGCTGCAATCGTTACCTATCGCAATTGTTATGATACGCTTCAGCGTGGCACAAACAACAAGCATGAACACCAACAAAGTAGTATCTTTCACTGCTTCGATTTCATTGATTATTATTGAGTGAGCAATGCACACTGAGCATATGTACAGAGAGATTTTATTCAAAGTGAATTTTCTATTTTGATAAAGAAAGAAAAATAATTCTTCGAAGAACATGAAGTCAATTACTTCGTATTCCGTCTGACATGAATTGTTACTAAAAGTTCCCTTTGTTGATGACAAGTTATTGGCTTTACGGAAATTACTTTCTAGAAATTGGAAGTGTAAATTGGTAAAATGTGGACCGTTTGAAAGGTGAAAGTACGTTAGGTTATGTTTGTAAAGTAAACACAACAAGTCAGGTATTTTACTTACTTGGTCGGAGTTCGTAAATTAAATGCACGTTTTGATGAGCTAAAACCGAAGAGATGGACTCATTTATTGATGAATAATTTGGCAAAGATTATTAATAATATAGATATCGACATGCATGTATATCAATAAGCTTCACAGCTATCAACAGTCATTGTTTTGAAAAACAATGTCTTATTTGGATGAAAGCTCAATAAACGAACTATTCGACGTCATGGATCAACCCATCTGAATCATTACAATAAATTGCTATCGTAGACTTATGAATATGATGAAAGATATTTATTAGGATTTACACGTTGATGTTTGATTATAGTTCAATTGGAACTGCATCAAAACCAGCTGAAAAACAACACCAGCAGAAGCACAGCATACATTCGAATTGTCATGACCGAAAAAAAACAACATTGTATCGAATTATGATGAAGCCAAACTTAAATGTGAAAAGAAAACAAAAGTATCGAACCTCATAAGTAACGATGGTTGATGCCACGCTCAAGATCATCTTTCGAGTTAAGTAGAAAAACTTCATTCCAGACAATGCGACTGTATCACTTATCACATCATCGAAAAAGCGTTTCGTCTCTGTGTTCCACGAATAGAAGGACACTGATCGTAAAATCCTGATGGGTTCTGTCGATTCATCGTTGATACCAGCCGCAGTGAATGACACGAAAAACGCACGCATCAAAAGGAAAATTAGAGAGTACCAAAAATAAATTAGGCGATAACCCGTTGGACGTGACCTAAATTTGCAATGTGGACTATAATACGAGATGTTGATTTCAGAATAGATTCGGAAAATTACCTCAAACTCGAAAATAATTGCTGGCAGATAAAAAACATATTGCTTGAGAATGAACAAAATATAATATGACCTATTCTTCTGTCGACGATATTGACCAAGTAGGATAATCGTCTATACTGCTCTCGTCTAAGCACCCAATACTCCATAGACATATGCTGAAAATTAAGGTCACATTTCTTATAAATAACAAAAAAAAAAAATTTCAGACAAAATAGAAAACCAATCTACCTGTCTCACTGTCTGTCTGAGTTCGAAATTGAATAATCTGAATTGTGTAGACAATCCAATGCTAATAACCATAATAAATACATCCAAAAAGTTCCAAACAAATGTTGTAATCACACTCAAAAATTTAAAACAAATGGCTTCCCAAATCAAATATTTTTTCTCAGTATGAAAAAATAGATGAGGTACTTCCACCTTGATTAGTTCAATAAATGGAGATTTTTCATTATGACACACAGCAAGATAATGCATCATTGATCCGATGCTTAGCAAATGCTCAACTGAAATCAAATCAAATAAAAGAAATTAGTTTGTTCCTTTGAACCAAATCGTACAAACAAATATACTTAGAGCCAGAAATAAAACAGTTATCGATATTAGTCTAATTTTGCGCACGAAATTCGTCTTTTGTTTTTGACTACGGAATGCTGGCGACTTGGATTCAGTGTTCTCCCATTTGTGTATAAGCAAAGGCCATTTTCTAGCCAAAGCCAGGAAGCTAACAAATCCGTAAGTATTTGATGTGTAAAATATGAAAATCCCTGGAAAATAAATTTCTCGCTAATCGAAATTGTTTAAAAAAATGTGGAAGTGATTTCGGTACTCGGTCTTTGAAGTATCGTTCACTGTGAAAGAAATTGTTTTCTGAATTACAAACCGATTGATGACAATTCGATTTCTGTGGTGAATGTTCCCCAAATCAATATTGACGTGTAAGATATTAAAATGAATGCAATAATCAAGCTGTAGATAGTTCGAACGCTTTTCCATTTAAATTGAAGCTCAGATGTTTGGCGACTCTTTTTAACACCAATGACTGGCAACAGACCGAAAAATTGACCTAGAATAAGGAAAGGCCAAATCGCTTCTCTGAAACTTCCTTCGAAGCAGTGATTTTCGACTAAAACAGGGGAATTGATAGTATCAATTTGATACTGTATTACATAAAGTTCGAATTATCGAATTTCAAAGTGTTTACCATCAAAACAATCGTTTTGTGATGAAGGTAGCCAACTCGATGATATCGACGTTTGTCTGAAAATTTTCTGCTCTAAAAATTAATTCCTCCAAAATTGTACCGATATGACCAACCTGTTTGATCGTTGATTGTAAATCAATTTCCTCAACTTGAAAGGAAAAAAAGTTTTTTTTTTATTGTTCATACTATTTTACTCGATGTTCATTGATGAGTTATTCGTTAATGTCTACATTTTCATTTGATGCTAAAGCAAAACACTTGATTAATTAAAATATTTTTATTTTAATCAGTAATTCAAAATCGCCATACGGTCCTTTAAACTATTTTGACAATGTTATTCTGAATTAATTTACACTGAATTCAATATGAGACACGTATTTTTTGTAGGTATTTGTTGAACGATTACATAAACTAGAACATCCAATGCACGACACAATACAAATCAAAGTGATACTTATTTTCAATGCTTCAGCCATATATACGAACATATTTGTAGCAATATAGAAGGGAGCTTTTCACACTAATGCTGAATAAATCAGAACATGAAAATATGTCATACATAAGTTCAACTAATTACAACAACTATTAAAAGAAACATAAATATAATGTCACAATGTGGCAAAAGACTATTGTTTGGTCAACAAAATAATACTGAACAATATTTTCGGGTGGTTGAATTGTTCAAAACAAGCCACTAGATATTGTTTTGTCGTACTAATTTGATTTGGGCTGTATCAAAACAATTTTGTTTTTCCTGATTATGAAGTATTAATTGGTCCGGAATATGAGACAGGTAACAACGTTTTTCCAATAACAAAAAAAAATATTTTTGTTTGCCACCTTAAGTATTCTGTTTACGACAAAAATCCATTCACATACTCGACATTCATGATGAGTCTCAAAATGAAAGTCGAGTAAATAATACTATCATTAAGTATTCCAATGTGTTTAATATGCCCATGATTAAGATTGACAAACTGCTACGTAAGAGTTACTGGAATGGAATTGCATCATAATAATCTCGTATGTGACGATGGTTCCAACTAGCTGAAAAATCAAAAATATTGCGGAAATTCAGTATTTTCCATAAATGTGCTACATCTTCTTCAAACTAGTCTGCTACTTACGCTCAAAATCATTTTTCGAGTTATGAAAAAAAATCTCATTCCAGACAAGGCAATCGTTTCATTCGTCACATCATCAAAAAAGCGTCTCGCTTCAATGTTCCACGAATAAGATGACATCGATCGTAAAATATCAATAGGTTTTGTGGATTCATCGTTGATGCCAGCCGCAGTGAATGACACGAAAAATGCACGCATCATGAGGAAAATGAAAGAGTACCAGAAGTATATCATGCGATAGTAGGTTGGTTGTGGCCTATGTACATTTGTTATTTGAAGATATTAGACAAATAGCAGATTGAAGGTAAATATATCGGAAGATTACCTTAAGTTCAAAAATAGTTGCTTGCAGATGAAGAATAAATGGTTCCAATAACAAAGCAAAACAAAATGGCTTATTTTTTCATCGAATGTATCGACCAAATCACATAACCGCCTGTATTGCTCTCGTCTATACGCCCAATATTCTTGGGACATATTTTGCTGAAGTATTTTGTTAAATATTCATAAGGAAAAAATCAGAGAATACTATGAGATATTTTTATTCATAAAGGATAGAAATATCGCATAAAAATATCTGATATTTTTTATGCGTTACGTTATTTCAATGCATTTACAGTCAGACATTTCATTTTTCTACATTCCGAGCTCGGCTGTTGTTTGTTTATTTACCGTTATTTGTCAACAAGTCTGCCTATACCAACATCAACACACTGAGGCAATGGAAAAAAGATAGGCAGATTTGTTTAAAAACAACAAAAAATAAACAAAACAGAAATCCTCATAGGGAAATGTATTGGCAATGTAAAACTAAATGGCGAACATTTACGTCTCTGTACAATAACAGTCGAGCTCGAAATGTAGTAAAACAGAATGTCTGACTGCGAATGCGTTGAACGTAACGCATAAAAATATCAGATATTTTTATGCGCTATTTCTATCCTATATGAATAAAAATATCCCATAGTATTCTCTGGAAAAAATCAATGCCAGGTAAAATGCTAAAATTTGTGACCAAACCAAGTAAACGATACCTCTGTTGCCTGCCTCAATTCACAGTTGAACAGTTTAAATTGCGTGGACAATCCAATACTAATGACCATAATGAACACATCCAAAAAGTTCCAAACAAATGTTGCACTGAAAATTATCAGATTGACGCAAATCGCTTTCCAAACTAGCATTCCTTCGGCATAGGTGAATAAATAAGGAACATCAGCATCGATCCATCCCGCAAAAGGATCTTTTCCATCTTGACACACACTAATGAAGTGCAGCAATGATCCAACACTGAGCATATGCTCAACTAGAATCAATAAAGTATGAAACAAATAAATTTGCATCTTTCGAAGAAAGTGCAAGAATAAATACTCAATGCCAGAAATAGAACAGAAAGCGACAACATCCTTATCTTGAGCACGAAATTCTTCTTTTGCCTTTGATTGCGAAATGATGGCAATTTAGTTTCAGCATTTTTCCATTTGAACATTAATTTCGGCCACTTTGGGGCCAAAAATAAGAAGCTCACAAATCCAAAGGTATTCGATCCATAAAATATAAGCACAGCTGAAAATTAGTTATGCTGATCATAAATATGGTATTCAAATACAAAGGTTGATTTCCATTTCACAAACCGATTGACGAGAATTCAATGTTTTTATTGAAATTCATCCAGATCAGCAACAACGAGTAACACGATAAAACTGCTGCAACCACTAAGCTATAAATAGCGCGAACACTTTTCCACTTGAATTGAAGCTCAGATACTTGGCGACTCTTCACATTAATGACGGGCAACGCGCCGAAAAATTGACCTATGATAAGAAAAGGCCAAATCGCTTGCCTGAAACTTCCTTCAAACCGGTGATTTTCTGCTGAAAAGTTGGGAACGAATCATTACCACATTGTTCGATTAAAACATGCGTCGATTTTACCATGAAAGCATCTATTTCCTACTGGGGGCAAACAATCTGATGATGACGACGACGATTGCCTGAAAAATGAAACGTTTTCGAAAACAAATCCTTAAAAATGTAATTGATTCCATTAACCTGTTGGGCCTCTTTGTGAATAATAATTTCTTCATAGCGCGCAGAAGAGCACTTCTATTCTGATTGATCATTTTTATTGGTATTTCGTTCTCGATTCAGAAAATTCAAGAAGAAAGATAGAAGAAACCAAAATGACGCACTTTCGAATGTAACTCAACCCATTAGAATCACACCACATGAGTGATGAATAAGCTTCTATTTAAATGTATTCGAAATGGGTAACGGAATGCTAAACCATGTTTTATGTCCCGAATATAATGGACTCCTATTAATTTTATAAATAAAAATAGTCAATATGAAAAAAGAAAAAACGTCTTGGGTATAGAACGAAATCAGGAAAAAAAATTCTAGTTAATAATCAGTTAATGCCTATGGATTTACGATAATTGCTTTCTACATAGAAATCGGAAGTAGGTGTGAATTGGTAAAATGTTGACCGTTTGAAAGGTTAAAGTACATTAGGTTATATTTGTAGAGAAAACACAACCAGTCAAGTATTTTACTTACTTAATTGGAATTGGTGTATTCAATGTCGTTTTTGATTAGCGAAAACCGAAAGGTTGAATAAATAATTTGACAAAGACTATTGACAATATCGACATTATCTATACTATCACGGAGCCTTGATCTGTTCATCGTATGCAATGAAATTCATCGAAGCTCTTGAAACTTATCGTTTTCAAATAGAAGCTGGAGACACAGAGTGACAGAAAAACTGAATGTTCATCTGTGTGTCTGTCTGTTGTGAGCGAAGCGAGCCGATTCGGCTAGTTCGAAATATTTATAATAACAGTTATTCGAAATCACCACTGTCTATTCAGTTTCGAACCTTTTATTTTGAAAATTTCGCTTTAATTTATTTTAGAATGAATTCAATTTAAGACACGTATTTCATGGGCATTTATTGAAAAATTGAAAAAACTAAAACATCCAACACAAGACACAATCCAAATCAATGTGATAATTATTTTCAATGCTTCAGCCATATTTGCAAATGTTTTAGCAATATACAATGGAGCTGTTCACACTAATGCTGAATAAATATAAATCACAACGTGAAAATACGTCAAATATGAGTTCAACTAATTACAATAACTATTGAAAGGAACATAAATATATTGTGACTGTGTGTCAAAAGACTGTTATTCGATGTATTACGAGTTTTCTAAAAATCTGTTGCAAACCAGTACATATCTACAACTGTCGGATCAAATGAAAAATTTTCTGTGTGAGAGTGGTTGTGACAAAAAAATTCATTTCATAATCGAGTTTATATGATAAAATATTGGTTAGTAATTTTGTTATTCCAATAACATTCAACAAAAATGTAAAAGTTTCAAGAAAATTGTAATTGGCCTTAAGGCAGCATGTGATAGAATCGTTGCACGCATAATTTAATTTTTGCAGAATCTATCGCCGAATATAACACATAATGAATAAATAAAATCATACAAAAAAAATATTTTTGTTTGCCACCTTAAGTATTCTGTTTACGACAAAAATCCATTGAGAGTTTTGATGAGTCTCAAAACGAAAGTCGAGTAAATAATACTATCATTAAATATTCCAATGTGCATAATATGCCCATGATTAAGCTTGGCAATCTGCTACGTGAGGGTAACGGGAATGGAATTGCATCATAATAATCTCATATGTCACGATAGTTCCTGCCAGCTAAAAAATCAAAAATATTGCGGAAATTCAGTATTTTCCATAAATGTGCTACATCTTCTTCAAACTAGTCTGCTACTTACGCTCAAAATCATTTTTCGAGTTATGAAAAAAAATCTCATTCCAGACAAGGCAATCGTTTCATTCGTCACTTCGTCAAAAAACCGTTTCGTTTCAGTGTTCCACGAAGAAGATGACACCGATCGTAAAATTTCAATGGGTTTTGTGGACTCATCGTTGATGCCAGCTGCAGTAAATGACACAAAAAACGCACGAATCACGAGGAAAATGAAAGAGTACCAGAAGTATATCAAGCGATAGTACGTTGGTTGTGGCCTATGAACATTTGTAATTTGAAGATATTAGTACAAAAGTTTGATTTAAGATAATTGAAGATTACCTTAAGCTTGAAAATAGTTGCTTGCAGATGAAGAATAGATGGTTCGAATAACAAAGCAAGACAAAATGGCTTATTTTTTCATCGAATGTATAGACCAAATCACATAACCGCCTGTATTGCTCTCGTCTATACGCCCAATATTCTTGAGACATATTTTGCTGAAGTATTTTATTGAATATTCATAAGGAAAAAATCAATGCCAGGGAAAATGCTAAAGTTTGTGACCAAAACAAGTAAACGTTACCTCGGCTGTTGCCTGCTTCAATTCACAATTGAAGAGTTTGAAGTGTGTGGACAATCCAATACTAATGACCATAATAAACATATCCAAAAAGTTCCAAACAAATGTTGCACTGAAAATTATCAGTTTGACGCAAATCGCTTTCCAAACTGGCATTTGTTCGGCATAGGTGAATAAATAAGGAACATCAGCATCGATCAATCCCGCAAAGGGATCTTTTCCATCTTGACACACACTAATGAAGTGCAGCAATGATCCAACACTGAGCATATGCTCAACTAGAATCAATAAAGTATGAAACAAATGAATTTGCATCTTTCGAAAAAAGTGCAAGAATAAATACTCAATGCCAGAAATAGAACAGAAAGCGACAACAGCCTTATCTTGAGCACGAAATTCTTCTTTTGCCTTTGATTGCGAAATGATGGCAATTTAGTTTCAGCATTTTTCCATTTGAACATTAATTTCGGCCACTTTGGGGCCAAAAATAAGAAGCTCACAAATCCAAAGGTATTCGATCCATAAAATATAAGCACGACTGAAAAGTAGTTATGCTGATCATAAATATGGTATTCAAACAAACATGTGTTTTAAGATTGCTGAGCATCTCAGCATTTCGTAAGGCACGGATATATCCGAGTATATCGACGACGCATACTGTATAATACAGTGGCGTGTGTTGCTACGTGCAGCCGCAACGACTCGACCGAAGTGTGTTCAGTTGATGTGGCTGCACGCAACATACATACACATTCCGGTCGAGTCGTTGCGGCTGCGCGTAGCAACGCACGCCACTGTATGCGTCATCAATATGCTCGGATATATCCGTGCCTTACAAAATGCTGAGATGCTCAGCAATCTTAAAACACATGTTTGTATTCAAATACAAAGGTTGATTCCCATTTCACAAACCGATTGACGAGAATTCAATGTTTTTATTGAAATTCATCCAGATCAGCAACAACGAGTAACACGATAAAACTGCTGCAACAACTAAGCTATAGGTAGTGCGAACACTTTTCCACTTGAATTGAAGCTCAGTTACTTGGCGACTCTTCACATTAATGACGGGCAACGCGCCGAAAAATTGACCTATGATAAGAAAAGGCCAAATCGCTTGCCTGAAACTTCCTTCAAATCGGTGACTTTCTGCTGAAAAGTTGGGAACGAATCATTACCACATTGTTTAATTAAAACATGCGTCGATTTTACCATGAAAGCATCTATTTCCTGCTGAGGGCAAACAATTTGATGATGACGACGACGATTGCCTGAAAAATGAAACGTTTTCAAAAACAAATCCTTAAAAATGTAACTGATCCCATTAACCTGTTGGTGAAAAATAATTTCTTCATAGTGCGCAGAAGGGAACTTCTAATCTGATTGATCATCCCGTTTCATTGAGTCACAAAATACCACTAAAATATTTTGCTGTCGATTCGTTGTTAAATATTCTGGACACTTCCAGTCGCGCTTAATGGAATTAACTAGAAAATTATAAGATTCAAAATATTCAAGAAAGAAGATAAAAGAAACCAAAATGACGCCCCTTCGAGTGCAACTCAAACCATTAGAATCATCCTACATGAGTTAATTGAATGATAAATAAGCTTCTATTTTAATGTATTCGAGATGGATAACGGAATACTAAACCATGTTCCCGAATATAATGGATTTATTATAATTTTACTATAAAAAGTAGCTGTAAGTACTAAAAAAACGTCTTAGGTATAGAACAAAATCAGGAAAAGTTTTGTTCGGTAATGATAATTGGCTCATGGCTTTACGGAAATTAATTTCTAGAAATCGGAAGTCAGTGAAAGTACATTAGGTTATGTTTGTAGAAAAGCAGCAAAAAAAACAAATATCGACATATGCATAGCAAGAAGTTCCAACAGCTATCAACAGTCGTTGGTCTGAAACAAATGTTATATTTACATGAAGGCTCAATAATATTGATTGGAAGATATGGGAGACACCTCTTACATTTGCACTAACAATTGGGATGTGAAACATTGTCATCGTGTGGCAAATGTAAATATTTCCGGAAGAAGAATATATTCACGTGCTGTAAATTGTATAAAACTCTTCAAACTCTCTCCATTCACGGCAAGTTCAAGCTAAGGTCTGACAAATGCATGCTACGTAGATCTTTATATAGACACAATAAAATGCAATTATTGAAAAAAAGTACCAACAGTCTAATTTGGAGATTTATTCGTTTACCATGCCAACATGTAAAAATTCTATTATAAAACTATAACAATTAAAATGCAATATGAATGGCGATGATAAAATGACGTTAACAAAATCTTGATAAAATTAAGATGACAAACAATTAAGATGCAAACACAACCATATTCAACTTTAGTATTGAAGGCAAAATCATTAAATTCAATTGGTAAAAAATGACTAGCAAAAAATTAATAAGCAACACGTAATAACAAAAATGAGTAAGTTTTACGTTAATCGCTTACTTTCAGTTATTTCCAACAATTATTATGGGGCGTTCAATTTAGCAACACATCTGTATGAATCACTGAGTCGTAATTTAAAAATGTATATAAAGAATATTTGTGCACCGTTTTCCGTCTAGTTCGAAAAAAGTACTGAAACGTGTTTATCACTGCAAACATTATCGAAGTATCGGCTCCGATTTTAAAGCTAGAAAAATAAAATGGGAATTATTGAAATGGAAAGTTTCTTCAAAAATGTTGTAGTTGGACCACCGAATTCTACGTTGTCTCTTCTCAAGGCATTCGCAGAGGACAAAAATCCAGTGAAAGTGAACTTGTGCATTGGAGGTAGGTTTCGATATTGAATTTGATTGAATCATTAGAGATATCTCAGCTAAAATATAGAGTGACAATCGCACAATCGCCCGAAAACCGCTTCCATGAAATATTTCAGCTTATCGCACCAGCGACAATCAACCATACGTTTTGCCAGTAGTGAGAAAGACGGAAGCCAGAATAGTCGAAAATAGAAAAATAAACCATGAATATCTGCCTTCGTGTGGACAACAAAACTTCACCACATCTGCAATCGAATTACTACTTGGTGAAGATTCAATCGCTATCAACGAGAATCGCGTACATGGCATTCAATCCATTTCTGGAACTGGTGCGTTGCGTCTAGGAGCTGAATTTCTATTCAATGTACTTGGACATAAAACAGTATACATGTCAAATCCAACTTGGGGTATTTTAAAAATGCAATCACATCGCACGAGATATGATATCAATTCAAAAACAATTTATTTACAGAGAATCATGAAAGAATTTTCGGTCGTGTCGGTTTCACGGACATTCGATCGTATCGATATTGGAATTCAGAGACTCGATCGGTTGACATTGATGGGATGCTCGATGATTTGGATTATGCACCGCAAGGTGCCGTAGTTTTGTTGCACGCTTGCGCTCACAACCCGACCGGCAGTGATCCAACACCAGATCAATGGATTCGTATTGCAAATACTATTGAGGTATGCAATATGGAACAACAAAAAATTTGATCAGAAAAATGATCGATTTTGATATTTTTAGAGAAAAAATCTGTTTGTGTTCTTTGACTCGGCCTATCAAGGGTTTGCTAGTGGTGACACAAACAAAGATGCGTTTTCCGTTCGATATTTTATTTCACGGGGCTTTGAATTGCTTTGCGCACAGTCATTTTCAAAGATTTTCGGTTTGTATGCCGAACGAGTTGGCTGTCTCATCGTTGTACACAACGAGTCTTCGACAATAGCAGCTGTAACAGATCAAATAACAAATATAATATACGATTCATACTTAAATCCGCCCGGATATGGTGCATGTATCATTGAAACTGTCCTAAATGACAACGAACTCTATGAAGAGTGGCAAAACGATCTAAAACTAATGTCAAACCGCATTCGATCCATTCGCAAATCGCTTTATGATGAGTTGATTCATTTGAAAACACCTGGCTCCTGGAATCACATCATCGATCAAATTGGCATGTTTTCTTATACCGGACTAAATGGTACATACCAAATAGCATGTTGCAATTTACTTTTGAAATGTACCTCACATTAGTTCAAATGAAAGCCGTCATGTAATCATGCGAACAGCGCTCAAATCGTTTTGTAGAATTTTCATACAAAATGACAGTGAGGCACTTTTGCAACATGCTATTTCCGACATCGAAAATTAATTTAATTCAATTGAACTTTCGTTTTTATTGTAGAAAATCAAGTGGATACACTGATAAATGAGCACCACGTTTATCTTCGAAGGAATGGTCGTATTAGCTTGTGTGGATTAAATGAAAGTAATGTAACTTACGTAGCAAAGGCCATCCATGCAGCAATCACATCAATTTCGAATTGAAAAAAAAAAACAAATAGAAAAAACAACTCATCAATTTATTTTTTTCTGTAGATTTATTTGGTTGCTGTTTTTTGTGTGTTTTCATCTTACACTTAGTTTTAATACATTTACATATAATATAATGTTTTTTTTTCTTCTCAAATGTTCAATGTTTTTTATTTGTTATTGCTAAATTTATGCATCAAATAACATTGTTTGGTCTTTTAAAAAGATTTCTTCATTTCAATTTTCTCTTCTTCTTCTTCTTTTTTTGTATCGTTCCATTTTCTTCTTTTATGTCTGTATCCCGTTGCTGTTAAATGATTGAATTCGAATTACCTAAATATTATTAACTTTGACCGGCATCTGAAATGCGAATCGTTATTGTTGATCGGAAAAGAAAAAAAAATGTCATTTCAAAAGTCTTGGTGCATTTTTACTGCATTTAAACTACATTCTTTCATAAACAAACAAAATACTGCCTTTGACATAATTCGACTGCATGCTAAGGTAAGTGTGTGTGTGTGTGTGAGTTTTTTTTGCCGAAAGCCGAAAAAAGTTCCTCAGTTCGACTTGGAGATTTAGCCATTCATCTATGAATGTATTAAACTCACGACGAAACTAAAGTGGAGCTATGAGAAAACTGTTTGACATTTTAAGTGTAGTCGGCATGGCAGTTATATCACGGTTTTGAATATGCAATGGCAGTTTGACCGAATTCAGCAAAGTCAAATAAAGCGTTTTATTTTCTTTTATTGTGATGATGGTCAAAGGCTGCCTCGGATTGAATGCGAGGTCAACCTAAAACCATCATTCGTAAACTTTTGCATTTTTTTTTAGCTATTAGATGAAGCCGTTGCTGCTCTTTCACACTTTGAAAAAGTGTTTTTTACAAAAACGAAGAAGAACAACACATGTTTAGTTCGATTCGCAAAATTCTGCATACATTTAGATCAATTCTAATTTCGGGCTTTAATACAATAAATATAATATCGACAAATTAATTATTATAATATAATTTTATTAACATTCGCTCCATTTTTTTTTTGTTTTTCTTTTCGTCGTGCAAATTTGCCATATGTCTTTCTCACTGAAAAGTTCGAAAAGTATTTTGCATTTGTTTTTAGTAGTTTTTTGTTGTTATTTTACTTAAATTAGATGAAATAAATTACAATTTAAACAAAATTCACTTGTGAACGATGTGTGTTAAGTATTCAAATGAAATTCGATCAAGGAAGGGGAAAAACGAGCGAAACTGATAAATGAGTGGCCGAATTGAACAGAGGTGGCCAAAATGGTTAAAATGTTGTTTTCGATTTGCCAAATGCTTTCTGTACTGTTGCAATATGATTTGGATGAAATAATGGTTGAACCGTTTTGTTGTTGTTGTTTTTAAACCGAAAACTGTAGAGAAAAGAGTATTATCGATATCGATCGTTACGACAAAAAAAAAATTTGCCCTAACATAAATTTGCAGAAAAAGAAAATAGAAATTATAAAGAGGAACGCTATTCATCACTGACTGACCTGTAATTTTAGCTCAAACGATTTTCTGTTTCACATGGACATCCGGTTATATCCGAATCCAATAAGATCGATCTATTCGCTTTCTGTTTTCCTTTCTTTTTCCGTATTGCTCTACGCTACTATAAATTTGTTTTTGTTCATATCACAAATGGAAATAAAATTAATAGATTTCCTTCAATAGTTAAAAACAAGAGACGATGAAATAATGAGTGGAAATATAATAATTTGCCTTTTTTATGTTGAAAGAAAAAAAAGTCAGCACCGAAAACTCAAAACTTGATCGTTAAATTCTTTTTCGATTGATACATTGATTTTTTTTTTAAAGAAAGAATTAAATAGAATGAACACAAATGATTTTCTCATCTGCGTTCATAAATTTATAATTTAATTTACACTCAAATTTATCTTAGTTAACAACTTGGGTTGGATATTGCGGAACTGGAGAGACTCTTCGTGTTCATTTTTCTTTTTTTGTTTTGTTTCATTTTTGCTTGGAAACATAAACAGAGGCTTTTCACACATAAATGGTTTTTAGTAGATTTTTTTGTTTCGTTTTTCTCTCGATTTCATTGATATTTTCATGTACATGTCAAAATATCTATTTTTACCATTTTAACATCATTTTATGGTGTTTGTAGTTTGTTTGTTTTTATTGTGTTTCTTTCGTTTTTTGGGCTCTTCGATTTCTATGGCAAATGTTTGCATTTTGATATGCTATTCGACAGCGCGATGCATTTGCATGAATTGAAAATAAATTATGATACTCGTTCTTTTATTTATTTGTTTAGTTTTTTTTCTTTACTAATATAATGCGATTGGATGCAGTTTCATTCAACTTATATTCTCTTTATGAAGCAATAACAACAGTTTTTATATCATTTCTTCTGTATTAAATGAACATAATTAAAATGAGAACAGATAAATCAACTGAAAATGTTAAAAATAAAAAAAAAATCTAATTGGATGTGAAGGTTGAGTGTTTTCTAGTAATGACTGTTTGCATTTTTTTTATAAGTGCACAATCACTTTGTAAAAAAAAACTGAAATTTTCAAAATTTCGTCTTTTTAGCGGTTTATTTTTTTTTTGGCTTTAGATATCATTTCTCCACACTTCTTATTCATACGAGACGAAACGGATTGTTTTATCCAAATTTAAAAAAAAACTCTCTTTAGATTTTTTATTTAATTTGTGTTTGCCCGCCGCGGTTTCAATGAATTAAGTTTTAATTTTCCGGGAGAAAAGTTTAAATATAGAATTTATTTATAAGCCCAATGATTGGTAATCGATATTGGCAGATGTGTCTGGCAACTCTGTAATTTATCGAGGAACCTTCTTTAGATGCACACACAAATGCAATGATGATATCCGAATTGCCACAGTTATATATTGCAACTAACTAGATCGGGTGGCAAGAACTGTAAAAAGCGGATTTTGATAGTTTATCTGCACTTTCTAAATATTCTATGTTTTGCTTTAATGTTTTCGTCGACTTGGTATGTAGGATGTGTTCTCATTTACGCTACGATGCGTAGTTGTGAATTTGATAATTCACTAAATTCGATATTATTGTCCGCTGAAATAGTGAGCACGGCCATACTTCACTTCCTCCCAAGCTAAATAAAAAGGGCGAAAAGTTGAAAATTATTTCATGTGATTAATGTTTGTTATCAGTTCAGACAAATTGTGACACAATCGTTGAAAAAAAGCGAGAAAAAAGCATAGAGATTTAAAAAAAAAGTCGACTTACCTGAGCCGACGAAATGAACGATGTCGTTGTGATTGTGAGTGACGAACGGCACTCGAGTTTCAGCGAAGCTGGCGCTTTTTTGAGGAACATTGGCAGGATGAGAGTTAACGGGAACGACCTCATTCTCCGTTGCAGACAATTTGTTTAACATCGGTATCATTTTCGATCCTATTTGTTTTTCATTCACATTGATTAAAAATTTGAGACAAATTGGAAAATATTCAATTTCATTCACACTCACCATTACTAATATTATCTATGGATTTATTAATGCTATCGTGGGTAATGATAACTTTCTGTTGTTGATAGTTTGAAGCTGACTGGTTGCCAGTTTTTGAAACTGTGTTATGTACATTGTTTTGGGCGTTGAATGGTTTTGTGATGCCGGCATCATTATGGTGGTGCTGCGGCTGCTGCTGTTGTTGTTGTTGTTGTTGTTGTAGCTTTTGCTGCTGTTGCGCCTTCATAACATCACCATCAGTACCATGATTTCGATTTTTATCGTTCAATTCTATATTTATATTGTTATTCAAACTATCTGAATCACTAATCGATTGCGAAACACTGACAACTTTGGCTGTCGCATCGCCTAAACTAACATTATTGTTTATCGTATTATTGTTATTATTTAATGATTGGTTGCTAACTACATCACTGATTTTATTATTATTGACATTGATTTTATTTAAAGTGGTTTTCTTTGTTACGTTGCTCTTTCTAATCGATAGCTCCGTGATTGTGCTATTTCCAACGACGTGATTTTCTGTATGAATTTGATGATTATCAACCACCTGCAAAATTGAAATGACCAGTCGGATTAGTCCATCGATTTTGCTACCACAACAAAAACACATTCCGATTGTTGCAGCGAATTTACCTCATGAGATTCAGTCGGAACAGTGGTGCGATGTGCGGAAGCGTATCCTGGATCGGATTGTGAAGACATCATCGGTGTAAGAATATTTGGTTTTGATTGATTGCAATCGTATATTGCATGATTTACGGCACTTTCGAATGCGTTGGTACAATTGCTGGCGGACGAGTCGGTAATCGAAATTGGACCATTTGGAGTGTCGCTACCCACATGATTTTCTTCCTGCTTCATGAGCTGCAAAATGTCATCGTTGAAGTCACCAAACAGCAAAGGGCTCACATTTTCATGGTTCGTTTCACGATCACTGAAAATGACAGCAGTTTGACGTGCCTACACGGAAAAAAAAGAGAAAAGAAAAACATTCAGAACATTAACAAGGTTTCGTTTATTTCAAAGCGGATTTCCCAAAAACCAACCGTGCGCTGTGCTGTGATTACATTCGGCTGTGATTTCTTGGCCTTCTTCATATTGATCGGAGCAAATAGATTGCATGAATCGCTGTTGGCGATCTCTTCAGCTTTTGCACTATTTTGGACGAATTGCAATTTCGAGCAATTCGCATCAACTATAATTTTGTTGTCGACCTTTTCCTCGACGTGCTTTTGCGCCTTGATTGCATTTTCCTTCTGAATTACATTGGCTTCAGTTGGTGTTGGTGATTTCTTTGCTGTAGGCCCCTTGACTGGTTTTTCATTGGCTGTTGTGGTTGTTGTTGCTGCTACTGCTGGAAAAACTGGTGCCGCAGTTGGTACTGGTACTGCTGCCGGCGTAGATAGTGTTGATGTCGGCAGCGGTGGAGGCGATGTCAAAACTGATGCAAAGTTCGGGTGCGATTTCTGCGGCTTGACTGTCTTTTCCAAGCCAGGGAATTGATCCATGCTCATCGTTGTCGTATACTTTTCGCTGTCACAACTTTTCGATTTTTGCAACTGATTCTTCACGTACTCGCCGAGCTTCGGTGTTTCCATCATGCGTGAATCATCCAAATTTGAAGAAGACTTCTCCTCACTCGGCGATGATGTCTTGATTGTGTCGTACGATTTGTTGGACGCATGACTTCTTGAACTGACCGTACTACTACTTGTGCTAATGTTTGAATTTTCCGGCGATTCGCTATTTTTGCCGTTTTGTGAAACCGATGGCCATGCATTAACATTCGACAATTTTTCGGGCGGTTGATTTGCTTTGCGAGCCATTTCCGCGTACGATATGATTGATGATGATGTGCAGGTGACGGTCGATTCGATTGGTAACGAATGCACTGAGTCAAGATCACTGGAATCGGATTTATCGGATGGTGGCACTGATGATGTGGATTTGCGACGATTTTCCTTGGTCATCAATGAGTTAACATAAATGTCACGATCGTTGGTATAGGTACTGCTAGGCTGATATTTATTGCCGCCACTCATTGTATTGCTATTCGAATTGCGGCCGTGCGATTGGGCCGGATCGCGTTGGCTCATTTGTTGTTGCTTTGCTTTAGCCTCTTCTAAAATCTGTCGCTTTTTCGTCTTCTTCTTTTTGGTGACCACGTGAAATTCGGCCGCCTCAACATTCGTTGGTATCGACTCAATAGATGCATTGGTCAATGTAAGTTGCTCCGATTTTTTGTTATTTTTCGTATTTGGTTTGTTTTCTTTGTGTTTCTTGGCGTCCCGATCCTCGGTCGCTTCAAAGTCGTTGAGCTCTTCTGTGCCCCATGAACGACGTTCACCGCGTTTGTTGTTGTTGTTGTTGTTCTGCTGTGGCGGCGGCGGCTTTGAATTGTCCGATGTCGTGCTACGCTTTTGTGCATTTTGCATTTGCTTCTGTCGCAATGAAACCTGGGCACGTTCGGATTGAGCAATCTCCTCTTCAATCTTACTACTACTTTTTAGCTCTTCCATGGATGTGCTCTTTTTCAGTCGGTTCATCTCTTTCTTATTGTTGCCCAAGTTTTTCTTCTCTTTTCGATTACGTTCCGTTGCGCTGAGGTTATTCTTGTTCACATTGATGATATTGGTCTTTTTTGATATTTCCTTATTTTCGATAAAAGCCACAATCGAATCGATATTGTAATCGCTATCCTGTGGCACTGTCCAAGTCGTTGTATTACGATCCGCTTTGTTGCTGCGCTTCGTTTTCGGAGGCTTTGAAGGATTGGTTGTCAGTGGAATTGTGGTTGGTTTTGGTAAGATGGCATTGCCATTTTCATCAAGCTTATTTGGGGCCACCTAATCGATATAGAAATTGATTTGTACAAGAATTAGCGTGTGACTGCGAATTGTACACACAACATGCGTGGGAAAAGAACAACAAACCTGTGGTGGAGTTAAATGGACGTGTCTATTGGGCACATATTTTGGATCAATTGGACTTTTTGTGCTGATCGTTGGAGACGAATATTTCAAGAAATGGATCGGTGCGTCAACGTGGCAATTTTGCCGTGCTGCTTCGCCGTGGTCTTTAACAGTCGTTAAATAGTTCATTGTTGCAAGACGATGCTTCTTCAACTGCACTAGTTCGGTACCTTCATCCCTATGTTTTTCAGATGTGTCCTAAGAATAGCGCACGAATGAAGAAAAAAATAACACAAATTAATCAACACGGTCCAAATCTAGAAAGAAAAAATGTTTGCTAATCATTTCAACTGACCTGAGCCAAAGAATCATGTGCCAACAAATGTCTGGCTTCTTCCGGATCTTCTATATTGATTATGGTATGTTTTTTATCGTTTGCATTAATTACAGACGCAGATGTTGATGCAACCGATTTTTGTATTTCGTCGCAATAGCTCACTTTTTCGCCAGTTCGATGATGATTTGTCGCGCTGCGTTCATAATCATGTGCTTCCAACTTAGTCTTTGTGTTACTCTTTGCATTTGCTTTATGATATTTGGAGAGTGAAAACGACGATACTGGATAGTAGCTCGATGAATTTACATTGTTTGGTAAGCTGCCACCTTCACGTTGTCGTGACGAAACTGATGATGAATTTTTGGTGTATCGTGAGTTTTGCTGATGGCGACGCGATTGCGGTCCCAGCATATAATCCGAATCTAATAATTGTTCATTGACTAGATCTTGCAGCGAGCCACTAGTATGCGGACGCCGACTGTTCCCACGAAAATGATGTGACGAGTAAAATGTGTCTTTCTGTTGATCTTCGAGTTCAGCGTTATGTAGGAGCTCCTATAGATCGACAAATTTTTAATTAAATTGGGATTGGAGCACGTAGGAAATTTGTCGAAATTTGTTCAAATAATGGTCAAGTTTAAATGTTCCTTTTTTCATTTTTAATATATTTTCATTGAAATACGAAATACATAGAAAAAAAAATTCAACAAACCTTAAATAATTCACTTTTATTTTCTTTATCTTTTGGTCCTTTGTATGTAAACGCTTCATCCAGTAGGTTCTTTAATTCATTATCATCCAAATTCAAATTATCATCCAAATCAAGATTCTGCAAAAAAAAGAAAACAAAATCCGATAAAATTCCGCTTCTGAGTAGATACTACGATTGATTAGTGCTCGTTCATTTATGTGCGCAGAAAGAATCGAATCGAGATGTATTTTTCTTTTGAATGTACCATTTGGCACGGAAAAATGAACGAATGAAAGAAGAATAACATTTGTCCGTTAATTAACACGAATGCAACAGTAACTTTTCGAAAATGTTCTTAATTTCCAAGCGAAATGTTGAACTTTTTGATTGCATCGAAAACGGTTCGTGCAGACTTTTTTTTCTACTGCATTATACACTTTAAATTAGCACATGTTTTGTGATCTCCGTGTGCTTGCAATCATTAAGCGCAACGCCATCGATTCTCTCACAGCGAAGAGAAGAAAAAAAAATCGCTAATTATTTGCTTCTTCATTATTCTCCAACTATTCCAAGTATTTTTTTTTTTCAACTCATAAAATTTCAAATTATCGCATTTATGAAACTGGCCGCGAAAATCTTCGACTCAATTGAAAAACACGAAAAAATTACACATGAAAATCCATACGGAACAAGTACCGACGACGACGGCTGCTGTTGCAATCACTGAACGAAACTGATTGAATGTCAAAAGAAATTGCTTGATTTGCAATATTTACCGATGCGAATGCCAGACAAAAATCTCTAAAATACAGACGATTTTCCTTGATTTTTTGTCACGTTGTTGCACGAAAGAAAAAACGCAACCAAGACTTTCTTTTAATTTTTTGTTGTGTTTCACCGTTGGAATCTCAGCCAAATATTGATTTCTTCAAATAAATTTGAAGTGATCGTGACGACGACAGCTAAGCAAATGAAACATTTAAAGGTAATAAAAAGCCATAGGATTTGTGACATTAAACAGAAAGAGAGGCAGAGAGAGAGAGAGAGAGAACCCTCATTCGTTTCATACACAGCGAATCCGTAGCTGAGACCGCAAATGCAAATATGTATTGTTGGTTGAATCGACACAAAAACCGTCCAGTGGAAAAAAAAAGAGAATCGAAACGAATGTACGAACGAACACTTTTCTCGCATTCGCTTTACTGTGTCATTCAATTTGTTCGTTCGTTCGTTCGTATATTCTACCACTAGCATAGTTGGATTTTGTCCGAGTGTTCACAGGCGCGCTCTCTTCACAGAGCTCCATCAAACACACAGTACGCCCAAATGCAAGAGAGAAGGAGTGAGAGAGAGAGAGAGAATCACTAAAACACTTAATTAATATTTGTATTGTGTAAATATGGATTGTTGTGGTGGTCGTGTAAGCCGATGGTTGTCATTGTCACTTATTAACGCAATCGGCATTGGTTTTGGTTCTTTTCGTATTTATTTTATTTTTTGTTTTTGTTTTCGGTCACTTATTTTCAGCTATTCAGCTATGCAGCGATTGCCGTTAATGCAAGAGATATTTCCAGAAGGAAATCCACATGTTTGAAAGGAAAATGAATAAAGGCCGACAGCTGAAACATTGGAGCGTTAGCTCAACCGAACGCAATTTCAATTAAATGAACACCGTGAAGAACGAAACTGAATGAATCAAATCCAATTACTCAATGTGTATCGCTCGAATTCAAATATGCTCACTGAACAACGTATGTGTACCCAATTTTAGCAACAGCACTATATACTTTATCTCTCTCTATCTCTCTATGTATCTCCGTCTTTTTCACACGAAAACCAAAATGAAAACTGAAAATGACCACCGACCGACTACATTTTCTTTCTCGTGCGTATCGATCGACTAGACAATTGCAGTTCGGAAAACAATTTCCCATTCGATTTAAAACGGAGATTCTGTTTACCGAATATGATCGATATTCGATTGCAAATATTCAGCTGTTAGCCATTAGTACTGTCGCAAAGAACCATGCTCATGGGTTTCAATCACTTTGCAATATGTATAGAGATTTCGCTGTTTTAAAAAAATTTATTGTGTCGCCCGATTTTGCAACAAGTCACACACAAACACAACCCGAGCGAGAGAGAGAGCATAGCATAGCAGAGCAGAGCAAGAGAAGAGCACACCGAAAAAATAAAACAACAACATAGAACGACGAATACACAGATATTTCTTACGTCATTGGTCTACCAGTGCTGCTGAAAGTGGCCATGTTTGAATTTATTTATAATACTTTTTTCCTTCGTCTATATGTCATTTTCTGTATTGCTTATGACTGTAGAATTGAATGTGTAATCATATACCTATCTACACCGATGTACTTACTCTTTTTTTCATGGATATTTCATTCGATTTAAATTTATGAACAGAAAAATGCACGTACTACATTAAATGTGTGTCCTCTCTATATAATTCGCTATGAATTTTTTTTTCCATAGTTTGCACATAATATTCTCGAGTGCACTTCAATTAACGACCATTGCATTGACTCTATATAGCTCATTGCCCACGGGATTTTGGCTGATGGAATTTTTAAATAGGAACTAAGGCGAAGATAATTTCACCATGAGACTATTTAAAAGTACAGCAAAACCTATCACTGAATTTTTCCACCTTCGAATCGCGCGCACACACACACACACACACCGATTTAATAGAACATTCCAGTTTTTTTCTCCTTTTTTTTTCTTGCAAAAACTGTCGTTTATTTCTGATGTGAAAATTGCGTCAACACGTTAAAATTGAGCAATATTTTGTTCGAAGTGCGAAAAATGAAAAGCCAACATGATTTTGCATCTGTTTCACTTGAATCGAGGTGCCGAACAAAATGCGTCTTAAAATCAAATAAGATTCGGTTCAGTTCAAATGTGATTGATGGCAATCGGTTTTTGACATTGGAATTAATTCAGGTTTTGCGATTGCCGAACACAAAAACTCGATACACACAATTTTCGCGAATTTTCGTTTATTTTCCAATTGACATGACTGTGGCACACAAAATGTAAATACTTACGGAATCTTTTCCAGAACAAAGGCAATTGGATCAAATCAGGAAAAAAAAGGTGAAACCGAAAAAAAAACGAACGAAAAAAATGGACAACGAAAGAAAATCGCCGTTAGACTGAAATTCACTTTGCGAAAAATCGAAACGAATGTACAGATTGTACACTTTAAGCTGTGAAGAAAAAAACTGGTGTAATGTTTTAAAACTGCAACTTCATTGCCCATATTCGTACTTGTTATTCACAATACATCTGCAATTATTTTGTCGCACACACGGAATTCAATCTACGCATACAAACCATTTGGCGAGATACAGTGGCAAACACAGATTGGCACACATATACCATTAACCGTGCAATGATCACCGTTTAGTATTTTATCACACACAGTTACTCATACACACGCACCCGCGCACGCACACATACAGAAGAACACACACACACACACACGGTACCATACACTTTGAAACTAATATATGCTCAAGACAACTATTCAAAGGCAAAAACTATACATTGAGAGGTGCTTTGAGAGGAGCCATACACACAGTCAGTTGTGCGCGCGCGTTTGTGTGTGTGGGCTGACAATAAAAGCGATGACAAAAAAATTATTATCGTGGTGCTCGTGTTTGTTGCACGACACATTTTCATCGGTGGTTTATTAAAACACAATAGATGTATGGGTTATGTTCGGTGGTAGCTTTAGAAACTTGACTCGACTCGAATTTTTATATGCGTTGGTGTATTTGTGCGTGTACAATTTATGCACTAAACGCGAAGAAACCAACAAACTAAAACTAAAAGGTTCTATTTGCACATCGTTACTTTATTTGTATGGAGATGGTTTTATGTGTAGAGATACGTATATATATTTGCGATTGAATTGCCGTTTTCGCTGGCGTTTGCTGCTGCTATCGCTGTTGTTGCTTCTTGTGCAGTTTGGTTCTGGCCAATTTCGAATTTGTACATTTAGTAACTTGATTATTATGATTATTTCTTTTCTCTTCTTACCTTTGCGACTTGCTGTGTAGAAGTGCCTGATTTCGGTGCATCTCGTGATTGCTGTTGCATTTGAGTTTTTGCGGCTGTCGATGATGACATTGTGTCGCATATAGGATCCGATGTGTTTGCGGCCAATGCATTGGTTGTTTTTGACAATGTTTCCCATTTGTCAGGAGCTTTCAATTGTCCGTGTTCTGATGAAACCAAAGTTGATCGCTTAACCGACGACATTGAGAAAAGTGCACAACGACTTGGGCTGTGATCAAAACGACAACACACTATATTGACTGTTCGCTAATTGGGGCCCGTACACTTGTGTCGTATGGGGCGTTCAAATGTGTTTGTCTCTTCTGATAACGTCGATGGATGAGTTTTGTTTTTTTTAATCACTTGGCTTCGTTTGTTTGTTTTTTTTTTCTTCAAAATTTTTGTTTTATCTCGATTGAAAATAATACGAAATCCAATAAGATTATAAATCCACTATCCTATCTAACTATCGAAATGCGAGCCCTACTATTGGAGCACACTGCTCAGCTCCACATTCAATTGGCTATGTTGTTAATTCGATTGTTATAAAATATGAAGCGTTGTTAAATTGTCTATTGTGATTGCGTGTTTGATGAACAAACTCGCCAGAAACCATTTGACAGAAGCGAACTTTCGCCTGTCTTCACCTGTACACACTCAAGTCAATCAATCAGATGGAATTGAATTTTTCGCTGATGGTGTTTCACAGTGCGAACAGAGCAAGGCCGTCTTTAGAATTCAATGCACTTGGTTTGCTCTTTTTCAACAAAACGGAATTTATGACTTTTCGTGTGCAAAATGCGTAGATTTGGCCACTTTGGGCTCTTTAAACACGACCCAATATCATTTTTGGCATATCCCCATTGACGCCATTTCGTAGTGTTTTTTTTCTTGTGCCTCTGCGCTCCCTTTATTTTTGATACTCGCTTACAATTTTGTTTTATACACACAGACACTTCACACACTGTACGAATTCTTTGTGCGTTTTTTTTTTGGTTTTTCAATTTTATATTTTTATCGTGTCTTTTCTGACTCTTTCGTAATGAACAAAACAAAAAAGAAGAATGAATGAATGCACAACACACAAGTTCGGTGAATTTGTCTCTTAATCACAATCTACATCGTCGACCGCAAGATCGAAAATCAATAGTTTGTAATTCAAAATGGAACAAAATTTTTTTTTTTATAAAAGTCAGATTAAACCTAACCAAAATTCGTTGAAAGAATCAAATACTACACAAAAATAAAATAAAATCTATAATCGCAAATTTGAATGGTTGTCGCAGTTTTCTTCACACAAAAAAAGAGATATTCTTTATTGTTCCTCACTTCTTAGCTAACACACTAATTCACTCACTGTCTATATATTTTCTGCTAATTTCAACTACGTATGAACAGATAGACACAGGCTGAAAACGACCATGTCCGAAATTTTCTATTGAACTGAACTGGAAAATACAACAATAAAATCAGCGACAGTTTTTCGGTATTGTCGATGTATTTGTGTGCAAATGTGTATATTTGGGCGAATCGCCATGTTGTGTGTGCGACACGGGCATTTGTATCGGTTTCTATACCAATGTAAAAGAAAAGTCATTGACGACATTGATCTGGTCGAATGTTGATGAGAACGGTCGACAGGTGGCGCAAACAATGCAATACTTTTTCGTATTTTATTAGCCTTTTGGCTAATGGTTTCTTTGATATATTAATTCCATCGTTGCAAATTGTTGATTATTTCTTTGGGAAAAAGATAGTTTTCCTTGCATTAACCAATGTCACTACAGTTCTTTCATTTACTCCGCGTACATCAAATGAGCTGAGGCACCTGTAGTGCCCGATGTCGAGAAAAGTAGTCCAACATCGATTTGAATTGTACAAACTGACATATTATTGACAAACTCATACATTGAAATCAGTGTGGCCGATGACAGTCTCTATTTTCGGAGTAAATAACATCGAATGATTTTCACTTGCATTGTATTTGTGTATCCGTTTGTGAGCGTTGTATATACAAATTCTGTTAGCTCAGTGAATCACTTTGCTGCTATTCCAGAAGAAAAATTGTTGAAATCTTGTAAATCGTTTGAATAAAAATAAAAACAAAACAATGACTGAAGTGGCTGAAAAGGAGAATATTTTCTTATTCATTCCAAATTTGATTGGTGAGTGTCTTTAGGCAAATTTTCCAGCTATATTCTGTAACTGCGTCATTGATTGCTTCAGCTCCAGTGACATCGTTCAACTCTCTTTTTTTCGCGATTTACGCTATTTCTAAGTGATGTCACTAATAAATCGATCTTTTTTAGGCTATGCCCGAATCTTCTTGGCAATCGTCTCATTCTATTTCATGCAAACGAATTATATCGTTGCCGGATGGTGCTATATAATCAGCGCACTGTTGGATGCTATCGATGGGCACGCAGCGCGTGCATTTAATCAAAGTAAGTGAGAAAATACGTCATGCTATAAAAGACCTTAGATCTACAGCACCCTAATCCAATTAGGCATGGCTTATGTTTTTCGGTTTTCGAATATGGTACTAAATTAGATGGGAATTTGTTTTAATTGAGATTTGAAATTGTATTACAGGCACCAAATTTGGTAGCATGTTGGATCAGTTGACAGATCGTTGTGGAACAATGGGCTTGTTGGTCACCTTGAGCTACTTTTATCCGCGCTACATGTTCTGGTTCCAAATCTCAATGGTCATTGACATTGCATGCCACTGGATCTATTTGCAGGCGTTAGTATTCATTTCCATCCATAGAAAGCTCGCCAATGGTTGAATCCTTATTAAATTGGAATGTATTTTTCGTTTCAGTTCGACTATGCAAGGGAAAACATCACACAAATTCTTTGATCCAAATGAGAATTTCATCATGCGTCTCTACTATCAGAAAGATGTGCTCACATTCATGTGCTTCTGCAACGAAATGTTCTACAGTGGATTGTACTTACTTCATTTCACCACTGGACCCACATGTAAGCTAAATTTATCTGTATACTGAAGTATTATACTTAATTCGGTGTTTTTTTTTAAATCAAATTTCATTATCGAAACAATTGAATATTAATACTTTTGATTTGTTTTACAGTGCTCGGCATTTCCATCTTCAAAGTTCTCACAGTGATTGCATTCCCAGTCGCTGTAGCCAAGAGTGGAATCTCATTGTTACACGCCTATGTGGCTGCTCAGAATATTTCAATCATCGACCAGAATGAGCGTGAAGAGGCTCGCAAACGTAATTTGGCTAAAAAACCAGAATAAGCCAGCCGTCATGTGTGTCATCCAATCAATTAATTTAGAAAACTAAAACACTAACACATGTCATAATATGATATATATGATTTGAGAACCCTCTTTCATTGATGTTGTACGTTCTTTTGAACCAAATTTATTTATAATCATTGTTTTGTTACGTTGTCAATGCAGTTAAAGAAGAATATTCTCAACACTCTCAAGCCGAACCAAAAAGTCGGCTAAACTGAGGCATGAATCTAAAGAATTTCAGAAAGCTAATTACCAGAAATGGTCATTATTAGTCATTCCAGTAATTCAGTTACTTAAGATAAGTTGCTAAGTAAGACCAAATGATTGGAATCTAATTTGAACCCAAGAAAAATTGACAATTGTTGTGAAAATAAGATTACGTATATAATCTAAACTCGATGAATTGCAGTTCATAGAAAATGAATGACATCAAAATGTTCACTCAAAATCAAATTAGCGATGTCCAAGTAAACCATCAAACAACTTTGATCCAATTGATTCCGTGATGGAGTATTATTTTGAGTGATTTAGTTTTGGAAATATTTATATTCAATGCCAAAAAAAAATCTTGTGTGTAATCCGTCAGAAGAAATTAACTGAAATGTATATTTATAATAATACTTTAATGGCATTTACACGCCCTATTCTTAGTTTGGAATTGTAAAAGTAATAGAAGATGCAAAAATAAATGTTGGAAAATGTATTTGTTTCGCCATTTTCTTCTCAATTTTGTAGAATTTTCATTTTAAAATCTAGTTTGCCATCGATTTTTCGGTCAAAATTTCCATGGTTCCAATCGATTTGTCGACATATTCAAAAATCTAGTAACCTTTGGCACTCACTGAAACAATCGAATCCATTAGTTTTGGAGAAGAACATTTGTAAGGTAATCATTATGGGTTCGACAGGAGAAAAAACGATATGGAATACCGAAGAAGCATTGGTTACAGACTCAAAAATTGCTGGCCTGGTCACACCATACAACTTGCCGAAGGTTCTTTGATCAAATATCATTATCGAAACAATCCAATGTTAATATATTTTATTATTCATTTATTTTCATTCTGCCGAAGAGTGTGAACATTGTGATCAGATCAAATCAAAAGGTTCTGTTAGGAGCTGTTGCAGTCGACAATCTTCGCAGCAAGAATAGCATGACGACATTCACTGGCTCGTTAATTATTCATAAAGCAACCGACCACGAAGGCTTAGTATTGGTTGGATCTCAACCGATCGAGTTAAAAGCTAATCGTTCACCATTGAAACATCATAAAGTGGAATTGGCCCGGCCAATAACCGTTGAACCGAATCGCAATTATAGGCTTCGCTTTGTTTTCGATAACAGCTGGATTCCACGCAATTTCTATTGTCTCACAAAAATCGTTGAGTACGATACGAAAATTGACGCAGCTACAACAATCACAATCACACCCGAAAAGAAAAATGGTGATGTCATCGAAAATGAACTACCGTTGATTTTGTATTTTAATCGATTGTAAATCATGCGTACGATTATCCAAAAATAAATCGATTAAATCTCAAAAATGAACATATTGAATGTTTCAATTAGATTTGATCAGTTTTTACCTTTCAGTATAAAGTCATACAGACGCTCAGCTCAATTGGCATCGTGCAAAAAATCTTCGCACATATTGTCGCAAAATCGTTACCGCTCCAAGGTGCAAGCTATCAAAAGTGAATAAAACGAGAAACTTTTTATTTAAAATCATGAGATTCATCTCAATTTATTCATGCATTCGGTTGCATGATTACCATTCTATTTTCTCTGGCTTATAGACTTTGTTTATGAATATAAACTGTGTATAATGTTTGATATTTAATAAATTTTATGAGAATATGTTTAAAAAATAAAAAAACTGTTCTTTGCACGAACAATTGAATAAATTTTGAAGGCACAAATAAAATTCATTTAAAAATTAAAATCAGCCATGCTATTTGGAGTGTAGTTGTGCGCATGCAGTGTTTAAAAATATCCGAGACTTTTGATTATTCAATCTTCTTTTGATTGATCATTCGCACGAGCCGCTGAAATGAAATAAATTTGAAATTAGGTGAATGTTGCATCGATAAACATATTTTTCTTTCGTTTACCTTCTTCTAAGTCACGCTGCTTCTTCCGAGCCAAAACTATTTCCCGAGTTTCCAAAAACTTTCGAAAAATGTCGTCCTTCTTTTGAGCTGACGTTATTGGTTGCTCTTCGCGAATTGGTGCTTGGTTCTCCAATGAATTGGATGCTTTTCCGGCAACAAAAAATGAATGTATTTTTGAATGTAAGTTTCAATAGAAAATTATCCTGAAAATTGCTTACCACCAGTCGTGTTTGATGCTTGTTCTTTAGGTTTGTTGGCCGATTTTGGAGTGCCTGGCTCTGCCAACACTGAGCTGAGTTCGGTTCGCGAGACCTTCTGAATTGGAACTGGAACATCTATTGATGCACGTTCTGATTCGGGTGAAGAGACACAAACCGTACTTCGTCTTTTTGCAATCTTCTTCATCAATGACGGTAGAGCAGCCGGTGGTTCGGTTAAAAATTCACTTAAATCATCAACAGCGTCAACGGTGTCCGTGATCAAAACTAAAATCGGAATATTGTATGTCATTTGACAAAAAAAAAATTATTGAAATAAATTCAATGGAAATAAATGTGTGAATGCTTACCCGGCATTGATGGAAAACAAACTTTTTTCGGTTGGACAATTGCTTCTTTGGTTGAACGTTCAGTTGGTGTTTTGCGTGGACGTCCTCGTCCAGTTGGGCGTTCAATTTGGCGTTCAGTTCGGCGTTCAATTGGGCGTTCGGTTGGGCGTTCTTCGTCATTGGTGGTGGTCGATGAATTTTGAAGGTTATGCTCACGATTAATGTGCTGTTGAAGCATGTCAAACTTTTCGTTTGCGTTTCGTTGCCATTTCTTTGCGGCTTCAATTAAATTTGTTGCTTGAAAATCGATTTCTTTCTTTGAATCAGCAATAAATTTCTTCAAATCCGCGTGCCATTTCTATGGTACAATGTAATAAATTCATACACATGATAAATGTGCTGTTGCTCAACTAACGAACAATGCAATATATCAAACCTCGTTTCTGTTGCTCGAATTTAATGACCTTGGATTATGAATCACGATTCGTCTACTTTGGGTAGACGATGATCTGGTGATTCGTCTTCTATCTATCGATATTTTTACACCCCATTTATCGGTCTCTGGAACAAACACCTTAGCCATGATTTGTATCGAATGAACGTTGCGAAAGAAAAGACGCTACCGTCACAATTTGCGACGCACAAGAGTCGGCTTGATGTTAAACAAATCAACTACAACTACCATGACACGTTGACATTGGTGTGACAATGAAAAAATGGCACTACAAATGTAAACGGACATGAACACACTCGATGGACGCGCAATACCAAACGAAATGGCGTACGTTTAATTCAACTGTGTTGATTACAAAATGTCCCATTATTATTCAATATGATTTGCAAACAAAAACAATTAATCATTATTTTCAGAGAAATGATATTGTTTCGGTGCTGAATTCGATTTTTTCTTCGGTTTGTTTATTTAATTTGTCAAAATATTTACAGTAATCAAAAATAGATAAACAGCTTTAGTTTAGCATCATCGGTATCAGCACACAGTGCATATACACTGGTATTAGTGTTTTCATGTTGAATTGAGCGCATTTCACAGAAGAAAGACGTTCAAAATATTAGCAAGCATAACGTGGTCGATTCAAACGGTTTGCCGCGCATGAACCACACAAAAAGTGTTGTGCACATTTCGATTCGATTTTCAATTGCTGATTGAATGTGTCGCCGAGTTGACATCCGCTGATCCGAACAATTTGTTTTTGCATAGATATTTTCAATTTGTGCATCTATTCATTTCGTAATGGTGAATCCAGTTATAGTTGATAGTGACGATGAAGTGGTCTTTGTTGACACAGCCAATTGTAAGTAAAAAGTAACATGATTTATAGTCTTTTTGTTCCATTTTTGCGTGATTCATGTTAAACAATTGAGTGTTCAGGTGCCATATGCAATGAGTGAAACCAATCCCACCAATTGAAACCATTTCATTGTTTCCCTCGACAGCCATACCAAACACTAACAATAACGATGATGACGAAAAGTATTATTACGCGAAAAGATCAAATCGCGATAATGTTATTGGTGCATGGCAGCCGTGTGAGTTGCAGGGGAAGATTGAAAATATCGACGATCCCAACGCAAGTAGCTACATCGTAAAATTCATTCGGTATCCGCAGAAGAAAAATGTTCTGGAATATGAGCTAGCCGGTCGTCACTGGCCACGCGGCACTGAGCTAACGTTTGGCACCCGAGTAGTTGCTCGGCGTTGCTTGGAGCGATTGCCGTATCGAATCGACAAATCGGGCGAAAAAATCTTCTTGCTTTATAGCAAAAACAGTGACTTTTATGCAGGTGTCATCGCGGGTTTTGATGACAGCCGAGTCTTGGTCTTTTTCGATGATGGTATAGTTCAATTGGTGGAACATAAGGATATTCGCCGTGTCATTGGCAATGATCGATGGTACCATGGTATGTATTTTATGCGAAGAAATTTACAATTCCAAAATTGGCGATGAAATATCTCCTTTCCACAGCTCATTGGAATGCAAAACTATACTTTGATTGGTACTTCGCTAACGAACGATTGGAAGCTCAACCAAAAGTTCAACAAATGATCAAAGTGGAATTGAATGGCAACTGTGAAGCAATGGCCAAAGTGTTGCAAGTTGACGAGATGTTGGCGCAAATCCATTTCGAAGAAGAAAATCGTTTTGAATGGATCTATTTGGGGAGTCCACGAATATTCGCTGTTTGTCGTGAATTAATCAAACAGAAGCGATTGGACGGTTTTATTTCATATAAAACGTACAAGGTGACATTTGATTGGATTTTGCTCTTGAATGTGACATTGCGTGTAATAACATGATTTATTTCGCCATTTTAGGCCTGTCTCAGTGCCAACGATGACGTCGTAATGTTTGATTTCGTTGAGACGGAAGACAAATCGAATGAAAAACCAACGGAAAATGAAATCGTGCCAATCACTTCTCCAAAGTTCGATGTAATTAGGACCGTGAACCATGATTGTGATTATCGCTGTGTGAGTTTGGCGGATAAAATCAAACTTAAGGAATACGGTGGCATCAATCTTGATCAATATGGCGCTTTTTTGCGTCCTCTTTTGACCGGGTGGACCCGTCATGGTTCTGATAAGAAATTCTATAGGGCTCCATGCGGCTCATGTTTCCACTCGCTCAGCGAAATCGACAAGGTTTTGTTTCAGACTGATTCGAAGTTACGTATTGACTGCTTCGATTTGAGCAAGGACTGTGCAATTGTGAAACAGGGTGCAAATTCGAAGGTTGAAGTAAGTATTCAGGCTATTTTTCATATATATGGCTTTTTCATTCGAATTTTAACGATTTTGGAATGGATTTCACTTTCAGGACAAATATGATATTTCACGTGGAATTGAACCGATTCCGACGGTAGTGTGTGGTGAAATGTCTTTGGAAGATAAATCATTTAACTACATCAAGGGCTACAAATACGATTACATTGACGATCTGAAGAATAATCTCGGTCGGACTGGCTGCAATTGCACCGACAATTGTCGCGATAAATTGAAGTGCAGTTGCTGGCAACTTACGATTCAACGTATGCTCAATTATCCATCCGAAGACATCGACTATAAGGATCACACAAAAGTTGGATACAAATATATGCGGCTCCGGGAAATCGTTTACACGGGAATTGTCGAGTGTGGCAGCAATTGTGCTTGCTGTGCAAACAAATGTGTCAATCGTGTTAGCCAAAATGGAATGCAACATAAGCTGGAGGTGTTCAAAACTGAAAACAAGGGCTGGGGCGTTAGAGCCATAACCGATATACCGGAAGCAATGTTCATCTGCAATTATACCGTGAGTACTATTTTCTGCCTTGGATATATCACATGACAGGTTTTTATTTCCGTAGACATCCAATGAATTCTCATCTCATTCCAGGGCGATGTGTTAGAAGATTCAGCCGCTGACAAACGAAGTACAAAGTATCAGTTCAAATTGCCAAAGTTTGATGATTTTGACTCCGATGATTCAGGCAGTGAAGAAGACGAGCCAGAGTCGAAGAGACAACGAGATGAATGTTACGATGTGATTCAACCATTCATCAACTACTTCCCACCGACCATGCAAAATGGAAATGCAAACCAATTCCCAGAACCGGAGCACAGCAAATCGCGTAGCAAGAGCTATGTGGTTGATGCGTTATATAATGGCAATATCTCACGGTTCATCAACGTAAGTAAAATACTACTGCTTTAGATATGTCTATCACCTGAATGTTTTATTCCCACAGAATACCAATCAATTTCCATCTCATTCCAGCATTCATGCGATCCAAACCTATTCGTACAATCAATCTACGTCGACGAAGATAAGCGCTTTCCGTGGCTTGGTTTTTTCAGTTCTGAACCGATCAAAGCTGGGCAAGAGTTGACAATTGACTACCGGTATGAGTTGACTGATGGCGAAGGAATTAAATGCCAATGCGGCTCAGGTGGTAAATGCCGAAAGCGATTGACTTAAGCATCAAGACAAAAATATCAGTATTGACAATAGTTGTATTTCAAGCATGTGCATGATGGGATACCAACCCAAAAAAAAAATTTGTTTATTGAGATTTAGGCCTCGTGCAAGAGCAACAGATGAGTTGAGACTAGAAGAATGTCATTGTTTTTCATTTGATGAAGCCATCTCAAAATACCAAATGGATAGATAATATCTAAAATTTGACAGGCACATTGCATGTTTTTTATAACGGAAAATTTTTATCTTTTGATTTAATTTTTAGTTAACACACATTTCAGAACATTAAGCGGTTAAGACGTGGGAAATAAGAAAAAAAAAACATATTTTTTGAAATACTATAGAAATATAATGTTGAATTTCTGTATTTTTGCATTTTACATGCAAAACTGAGCCTGTTCGTATAACACAGAATAAAACATTACTTTTTTTCTATGAGCATATTATATATAGAATATTGTGCAAAATTTGCTTTAAAATAAAAAAAATACTTTATTTTCAAACTGTGAATGCGTTGATTCAAAAATGTTCACACACACACACACCCAAATGCCTTTTTTCAATATTTGAACATTAAACTATTTCGGAAATTATTCAAGCTTCATTATAACGCATGACATGGCTTAGTAAAGACCAGTGCCGTCTTAGCCTGGAAGCGAATGAAGCAGCCGCTTCAGGGCCCTGCGATTTCAGGGGCCCCGAGCTGCTGAAAAGGCCCTTGAAATATTAAGAGAAAATCTTATCATAGAAAATTAGAAAAAACACACAAAAAATACAAAAATTCTCAAATTGATTTCAATCTTCGTGGTTTGTTTGCTGTCTACAAAACAGATGATGCGTGTGACGACGATGCCGTGTAAATGGCTTTGGCCCTATTTTTAGCGTAAATAAAATCATCGATTATTTCATCGAAGTCCAAATTATTCAAAATTTCACATTCAACCACTGGGCAGAAACGATTGAATATCAAATGAGAGAGAGAGTAATCAAAGTATTTCAACTGCAAGACGAAAAAAGTCATACATATATTTCGCCTTATTTGTTGTTTCTGTCTTACTTTTTGAATGTAAGTAGTGTGGCTCACTATTTAATAGAATAAACAGTTTATCGATCAACCGTTTGAGCGAAATTTTTTATTGCTAAGTATGGTTGACTCTTCCAGACGAATGTAATTAAACATAGAGGGAGAATAGAGATAACGATAGGTTTCTTTTGTCAATTCGAATTGGATGTTGAGTCACATATACATTCGTATGAATAAGAGCGTTCATGTCCAGCAGTATTGAGCAATAATCATAACATAAATGAAAAACGGCATAGTTTAATAACTCTGAATTCATTCCAAATATTGAATTTTGTGCTATTGAGAAAAAAATTTGGGGCCCCGAAAATTTTTTGCTTCAGGGCCCCCGAAAGTGCTAAGACGGCACTGGTAAAGACGATAATTGTGATTTGTTTACGATTCAGTTTGAACTGTTATTTTAAGGGATAGATTAGAGCTATAACAGCTCAGCTGTTGAAACATCAACCGACCATTCAAAAGATAGCAAAAATTGGATGGAGATTTTTTTCACATTATTATGAAAATCCTGAAAAATTTATAAATTCCAAAAAAAAAAAATCATTTGTACATTATCCGTCTATGCTGAGTATTATTTTCCTCATCTAAAATGTCAAAAAAAAATAAAAATCATTTCGTTGGCAAAAGTTCGTTAATATTTATGAATTTTATCATGACGAACGTTGAAATTCAAAATACAAGGGCAAATGTTGATCGTTTATTTCAGTGTTGTTGTTATCAAACGTTATGTTCTATGTATATTTGAACGTTAATTCTGGGCTATCATCGCAACATGTGTCTGTTAATAGTGTTCCAATGGGCATGAACGCACACGTTCGCATCACGTACCACCAGTCAACGGGCGGTTTGTCCCAAACGGTAAGCACAACAACGAAGTGACATAAGAAATATTGCCGTCTCTTGTTGAAACCATATTTGTTTCGATCTCTCCCATTCGTAAAGTAGAATAATCGTTGCGGCCGCTCTTCAAACACAAAACAAACAAATATTATATCGCACTTTCTTCCATGAATTTTAAACAATATTAATGACGATCTCGAAACCAATCTTTGGTAAAATCGGAGTGAATAAATTACTAATTGTAACAATGTTTTCGTAAGATAAGAACGAGTAATTTTTTTGTGTGAAAAACGACACATTCCATCCGAAAAACAAACTGAAGCTGGAAAATGAAGATATTGATCACATTCACGAAATGCGTAAGTTGAAACAATATTTTTTCTCTCTTCATATGTTTTGTATCCGAATTTATTGTGCTGAAATTTCATATTTTAGTCAAAATTAAATAGTTAATGACATTGACAACAGCTGTCACGATCATGCCAAGCATTTTTCATTTTAATAATTAAGAATCATTTCGTTGCATTTCGCCGACGCATTATTTTCCAAAAAAAAAAAACGAATTCAATTTTATGTTCTTTTTGATTGAGTTTGGGCTATTGAAATCAGTTGAGAAAAAAACGCACGCGTATAAGAGCCGACCGACTATTTAAGTTGAAGTTGTTAAGTGTGTGTGCGCTTTGGGACAAGCGCTGCACGTCGTCGTCGTCGTCGTCGTCGTTGGTGTCAGTGGATGTTGTATATTCAGTGAGAATGTTCGTTTTTTGATTCGAGTCTTCGCCTGCACGTACTCATGTATTATATCCAATAGCAAAGCCACTTCGTTTGTGTGTATGTGTTGAAATATCGTAGTGTGTATGTGATACATTTTGAACCAAAATAGCCGTTATTTTTGTTTATTACAAGAGGGAGCAATTCATATTACATCGCTTTTTTTTACACAGTGCGTTGCATGTGCAAAGTGTGAGAGCGGCAATTTGTTTGATTCTGATTGAGTTTTTTTTTTAAATAATAGAATCAATTTCATAGTATTAGATATTTTATAGTTTTTATTCAAAAGTGTTTAAATCATCGTAAATATTTGAAATTAGATTAGTTTTTGGTTCGATGTTTTTCATATATATGTATGATGCATCGATGAAATTGGCTGGTTAGCAGAAAACGATTATCTAATGATGAATATGGCGTGAAAAGTAAGTAAAGCAAAAATTGTGAAACGCATTGATTTTGGACCCTACATTTTTCCTTCCAACATTTTTGAAACGGGTTTTTTTTGTGATTCTCTTCATTTCACCAGCTAAATTCATACGGTCATTGGTTTCAGTCGCAGCGACAACCATTTTTTTATTCTTTTCTATTCGTCTGCACCAATCTTTCGTCTCGATTGATAATTTCAAATGGCTCATTTTTCTATCCGTAGACAGATTTCGCAAATCACACACCAGCCAGTTGTTGATTTTTTTCATTCTATTTGCTTTAATTTTAAGAGTTTCAGTTTGTTTAAAATCAATATCAATATTTCTCCATATAATATAGCACACCAATGATGCTCATGAAGCAAAGTTCCGCCGAAAACACCAATCAATACCAACCGAATATTGCTTAAAACGAAGGTGGTTGTCCTATTGTGAGACAAAAGTCACACATAACTATCAAGATTTTTCGTCTTTGTCGTCACCGTTGTTGAGCGATTTTTTGGCTGCAGCTTATTGTCCAGCCATTCGTTATTGTTGTTGCTGTTGTTGTTGTTGTTGTTACCCATTATTTGATGCAGACTGTCATGATACACAATGTGTTTGTTACAAATTCCATGCAAACAACAAGCTCATTTCCAAAATATCGTATCAGTATCACATTGAAATCATAGTGCGATTTCATTTAATATTCAAATTGGTTTATATTTTCCTCGTTTTTATTCACCCTTTTGCACTGCTAAAATATGTAGCACCCGAATGCTCTATATTCGAGTTTTTTTTTCCTTCTCTGTTCTACTTCTTGTCGGCGATTTTTTTTTCTTGCGCCGCTCCCAAACAAATCCGTGCAATTATGTTGCAAATATGTTTGGTTTCATTTCGATTCATTCGCTACACTAGCCGAAAGTACAATGAGAAAACAACATGCAACCCTGGCCAAAAAGTGATTCATGTTTATTTAATTGTTTGGCTTCTTTCGAATAATTAAAAAATACACCGAGATAAATAGGTTTGAATGGTTCTATATAGTTGAAAAACCTTTTTTCGGCATAGTTGTTTAGCTCGTCGTCGTCGTCGTCGTTGTTGCATTTACTTGACTTGTTGCTCGAAACTTGAGTTTGTATTCAACATTTCGGCAAATTTTTTTTTCGTCTTCATTCGCTACCTCTTCAAGTGAATTATAGAAAAATATTGAGATTGAATGCGTTGTAAATGAAAAGGACACATTAAAACCAGAAATGCTTTTTAAAAGTGGCATTTCTTCTGAAAAATAAAAAAAAAATAAATGCAAAATAGCACATATACACACAATTGGCTTGAATGAGCAAACAACGGTGCAATAAGTTCTTGTTTGTGTCCTTTTTTGTCTCCCTCTCTCTCACTTTCGTTCATATCCGATCGTCGTTGTGTGCCTTTTGTTGATGCGACCGATCCAAAAAAAATTCATATTCATCATGAACCACCACCGAAGGAACATACGTTGAACACATTCCGTACAAGACGAAACCAACACAGATACTTGGGAGTCGTCTTCGACGAAGTGTATAGCATTTAGTGCATATGTTGCTGTTGTTTATTTGATGAGGCAATTGTGTCACCGTGTGTAAATGTGCCATTTATATAATGTTTGTTGCTCGTCTTTCCCATTCGCCTCGTCTTTTGTTACTGCTGTTCGTGTCTGCTTGGCAGAGAGAGAGAGAGAGAGAGAGACAGAGAGAGAGAAAAGAAGAAGAAAAAGGCGCACATAAGAACCCAACCTAATCCAATCCCAAGTTTACCAAAAGAATATACACTTTTCTTGACATGAGATGACATGACAATTGTGTTTCGCATCAAAATTCACAAAAGGAAATGCTGCAACAGACAATGGAATGTGTGAGTGCAAGAGAGCGGAGCATAGAGTGATGGTTGTTTGGTTTGGCCGTTGATTTTTATGCGTTTCCAATAATGCACGTTCTCTCTAACCAGTCGTCGAATTATTGGCACATATGCCTAGTTCCTGATCCCCTTGCTCTTATCGTGTGCATTTCTTTTCGTTTCATTTCTTATTTTCGCAAAATCTCCGACGTGAAAAACTTTCCCTTTTTATAGTCCCCGATCGTCTCAAGCAAGTCAGACTGTCTCAAACAAGCCAAATTGTTACATAAATCTTAAAAACGGCGCGGTAAAAACCGATTGTTTCGTTATTTATGTACTGTAGAATTGATTTTTTTTTTCTCACCCTTCGATCGACGCAGCGAATCAAACGTTCCGCAAAACTTCATCGATTGTTCAATATACTCAAAGATTCGATCTTTTTATCTGATATTTTCGCATTTTTATTTGTTTTTAGGACAATTAATTTTCGTATTTTGTGAAACGCGCCAAAAATCGACAATCAACTGCAATTGCAATTTATTTTCGACCGTTTTATATTTCTGATACATTGAACACATTTCACACATTATGAAGATAAATTTCGATAGACTCTACGATTTGATGGACCAAACTATATGTTGAGTTAGTTCCCTTTCGAATTTCAGGAGGTATCAACATGAAAATGAAAACAATTAGATGGGAAAAGTGCAATATTTACGAACGATCCTTCGTTTTAATGCTTAATTTTCCATTTGAAACTGTCTTTGGCACAGAAATATACTTTCGTCCGTTGCCTGAACTTAAACAGATACATAAATTTTTCTTCTCTATATTTAATTCAGTGTATTCGATTCGTATTTTTACCTGCTCTGTTTACACGATCTCAAATTGTACGAGTTTTGACGGAGCATTTTTTTTTTCACCATGGTGAAGGTAACCAAAGGTTATTAATACTGAGAACGATGAGAAGAAGAAAAAAAAACTCCCATCAATAGACACTTTTCGGATATCTCTTTGTAATGTTGTTGGATTTATTTTCTCACATTGGCAGTCAAAAATCGTCGGTCGTCGCTTAAAATATTACCGGTCCCAAGTAATGAATTAGAGGGTTCAGTGAAGTAAAAAAAAGAGAAAAAGTCTTGCGACGTATCTCAATTTCTTGAACAACATTTTACCATCGATACTCAAATGCATCGTGAAATTGGTTCTCAAGATGCGGAAAATCCATTTGCATAAATTGAAAATCAGTTCGTCACCGCGCTTGCCGAAGTCATTTGCATTCTAGCTTATGTAAATGGAGCAAATATTTCCTTTATCCCAAATACTTTCACTTTAAGATCGAAATTGGTTTAACTATCGTTCGTCAACCCGATTAGATAAATCAATGAGTGAATTGGTGTTTATCTGCAAAAGTTATTCATGCCAATACTCCATATCGGGCATTTGAATGGATTCGTGGCCATGAATCGAGTCGTTGATGGTGTCAAGTCATAACATATTATTTAATTCAGACCATTTTTATCAGAACATAACCAACAGTATCCAATTTCATTGTATATTTTCTTTTTCCGAGGAGGAAGCCAAACAGCAGTGGATTGTGAAGAAGTCGTTGTACTAAACACAGGAAAAAAACTTCAAACAGAATATGGCAAAAAGTTAACTCAACACAAACATCTGCTATGGTTATGGGTATCGTGTTGTCTTTGTCACACTCGTTGCCGCTCACCATTGTTTGCCACGATTTTCTCTCTCACTCTCTCTCTCTCTCTCTCTCTCTTGTTCTTCATTTATTTCGTTAGCATATCAATAAGCAGTGCGAACGTGCGCCCCAAAAACGGTTGAACACCGCTCACTCACACTTACGCATGTAATGTATACACTATGTTCATGGATTGGTTTTCTCTTGTGTGTTCAACAGGACGCAGAAAATCAACATGTGTTGGTAACGGTTAAGCGGCAAGCTTGTACGGTCGATCGATCGCCTCAACAATTCAACCTTCACATATCTCAGCTCTCTTAAGGCTCTCTGTAATTCCATTGTTAGCATGTGTGTCTGTATATATATTTTCTTCAATTCTGTTTGACGGAATGCATTTGTTTCGTTTGTGGTAAAACAAGACGCCTAACCACTGTGCCAATGCCAATGTCAATGCGAAAATATTGCATTCGATTTTTCGACTTAATTTAAATGAAATTGAACCCAACCAATTTATTGAGTTTCTGAGAATAAAATTGATTCATGCCTTCAAACAAATAATAAAATCGATTCACAGTCAGTTGTCTCATGCTGCACCCATTTTTCTTCTCGAGCATTTTGGGCATTCATATGATTCCATTTCCATGAATTTTGCAGTGAACTAAAGCGGTAGATCTGTTTGAAAGTAGGTTAACTAACTAACGACATCACATTGAAGTACTAAACCAAATCAGTCAACCGGTAATAAGTCTATACCTTACAGGCTAAAGGAAGTGATTTCGAATGAATCGATATCCTTTAAATGTGGAAAAATCTGAAGAAAAAAGTAGACAATATGCATCATCTCTTTTATTGAGAGAATTCGATTTGCTATAAGATATCTTCTTCCGCAAACCTCCCGGTAAAATCGTTTCAAACTGTCCATAGCATATTGATCATATACTTCTTTCGATTAAATGTGTTTGTGTATGTGCATAAAAAGGATAGCATAGATGTAAATGTTAAAAAACGAACTTCGTCTTTGGTTGTGTACATAAATGAATGCACTCATGATGCGTTCACGTCTTATGTGTGTATTTTCTCAAGAAACGTCATACAATAGTCGCTTTAATGGCTGAGTATGTGAGTGAATGTGTGTGTGTGTGAGTGTATGGCATAATCCGTTTGAAAATGCCTACCGAAAATCTCAACGGATCACAACACTTTAGTTTAGTTAAGACGACGGTTGGATTCAAATAGTCAAAATCCTGCCGAACTTGAAACGCTTATTTTTGTTCCAAAACATTTTTAGTTTAATAGTTTTTCTATTAATAAGTTAAGACTAAATCGAAACCAAATTCAATTTAAAGCAATAATATTTCGAGAAAAAAAAAATTGGTTCGCGCTGTTTTGTCTTTCATTATTATTTTGTTAAAAAAAAAAATTTCCACGTTGTTGTTGTTTCTCGTGTTGAATTTTTGAGTTTGTTCACGTTTGTCTAGAGCGTTATGCAATTGTTGAAAAATTTAGAGGAAAAACTAAAAAAAACGGGCAATAAAATCTATTTGAAAAATCAAAGTAATCGTCATTTTGGTTGGTGACAAGTTTTAGATGCCTTAAAGTGGTTGAATATCGATAAAATGCCGTTTGAATGCTTTTTTTCGGTAATTGTATGCATCCTGTTCTTCCGTTGATCCAAATACAATTTGAAAGTAGTAGCCCGTACAAAATAAGTTGAAACATCTTTTGAAATTTACCTGTCAATCATTCATCTTATCTAATCAAAACTAACATGTTGCTTTTCTTTTCCGTTCCTTTCAGATGCAATCATTAAACAAATAATACGCTTATTCAAGATTTAACGATATTTTGTTTGCAATATACATACTAATTTTAATTTAAAAATAAAAGAACGAGCTCCAAACTAAAATCATTTGAAAAACATAAAGTGGACGAAGAATTTGAATCTTTAAAAAAAAAACCGAAACAGTGTGTGTTTTGTCCTGCGTATTTAATTTGTATTGTGAAAATCGAAAGAACAATTGAATCGAAATAAATTTCATAAGAAAACACAAAGAAAAATGGCACCAACAAAATCACAATCGACGCTCGCCACGAACAAAGGAGTTACCAAATCAATCGTATCGTTGTCACGTCGTGCCACCTCAACACGTACGCAACAGCAAAAGGTGCTTGTGGATGGTTTACACAATGTTCCAGTTGGTAAACGGAAGGCTGATGCTAGCCCGGGCCGCAATGAGAAAGGTGTCAAACGTTCGGCATTGGGCAATGTGACCAATGCCGTGCTCAATGCTATCGAAGACAGTAAAAAACTTACTCGATCGAAAACGGACGCCAAGAAAACGACAACAACATTGACAAACAGCAAGTTGAACGAAAATCAAGCAATCTTTGCCGCACCAAATGCCGTTCAACGAGGAACTAAAATCACTACACGAGCCGCATCACGGGCCATTGAAACGACAAAAAGCATTGTGAATGAGGCGACGGCTGGCCTCAAAAAAGTTAACATTTCGACAACAATTGCCAAGGGAAAAAAGAAGACTGAAACCACCACCGCTGCCACTGCTAACATTAACAATAAAGTAGAACGTCCGATGCCAAACAGTGGATCAGACAGCGATACCGATTTGAAGCCGAATGCACGCCGCTTATCGAATGAATTCGAACTATTGGACAATGAAGACAGTCACTACATGTCAGCACTCGAAGATTTGTAAGTATCAACAAAAATTCATTTTTTTCTGCTCCTTTTAGAAGTACAAAATATTTACGCACATTTTTCTCCTCGCACAAAAGGCCTTCGATGCGTTTGTCGGTCGGTGATCTTCGGCGAAAATCAATCAACAGCGATGGCGCTTCCGGTTCGACTGAATCATTGAGCACAATTGCTGAATCCATAGATGTAACATCGGCCTCAACTCAATTCGAAGCAACACTTAAAGAAGAAATAGCCAAATCCATTGGACCAGCTCCAGTACCACAGGGTGTCATTGATTTCGATCGCGAAAATTGGGACGATCCAATCCAAGTTTCCGACTATGCCATGGATATTTTCAATTATTTGAAAGAGCGCGAAGAAACTTTCAAAATTGATGCGTATCTTGAGCGACAGCCACATCTTACGAATTGGATGCGCACACTGCTTGTTGACTGGATGGTTGAGGTTCAGGAGACATTCGAATTGAATCACGAAACATTGTATTTGGCCGTTAAAATTGTTGATATCTACCTTAGCAAGGTTCAAATTGAAAAGGAAAAATTGCAATTGATCGGAGCTGCTGCTCTATTCATGTCTTGTAAATACGATGTGAGTGTGGATCGCTTTGATCTATTTATTACAGAAGAAAGAGTCAATTCTTAATTACTATTGAGCATGCCCAATTTATATGCATATAAATAATTCGAAAATCATTTCTTTCTTATCGATTTGTGTAACAGGAACGTACTCCCCCATTGATTGAAGACTTCTTGTACATTTGTGATGGAGCTTATAAACAAAACGAATTAGTTCGCATGGAAATGGACGCATTCCGCACAATTGGATATGATTTGGGCATCCCATTATCGTATCGATTCCTGAGAAGATATGCTCGGGTAAGTTGGCTACGGTTATTTGATCGCTGTACCGACCATTTGATTTCGAAATTTAGGAATTAATTTGAATTTCCCTCTATTTTTGTCTCATTCAATTTGGCAGTGTGCCAAAGTGACGATGCCCGAATTAACTCTCGCTCGATTCATTTTGGAATTTTCGCTCATGAGCTACGACTTGATAACATTGAGTGACTCAAAAATCGCTGCAGCCTGTTTATTCATGGCTCTTCGTATGAATCAAAAGACTGGTTGGAATAAAACATTAGAATACTTCTCAGGTAATTGATTGTTTCTGTTTTTTTTATTTTAATTTCGGACACATTGAAAGACTAAACGAAGTGAAACATAATTAAATCCATGACAAATTGTCTCTTCTCTTTGTACAGGTTACAAATTAAGCGACTTTGAATCGATAATACCTCTCTTAAATGGACCACTACATCTAAGACAACGTGATGCAAACAAAACTATTCGAAATAAGTACACACACAAAGTGTTCTTTGAAGTGTCCAAAGTGCCGCTCATGACAAACGAACAACTCTTCAATTCCGGCGAAGTGATTGAACAGCTATAAGAGCGCGCATTTTTAAAGCACAAATGATAATTCAGGGCAAATAATTGATTACTTTTTTTTTTAAAAACGAATGAGTCTAACTGTAATTTGAAGCGAAACACGAGTTTTGTTGCATTCACATCAAATGGAATGTCCACAAAATCAAAAAAAACCATTCTGAATGTTATCGTAACAATACATTGATGCGCTTTAAATATGTGTGTTTTTTCACAATAGTCAGAAATCACCTATGATACAATTTAATTTTATTTTCTTCATCTGTAATTACAATGCTCGTGTTTCAAGATTTTATTCCTTTCCGCATGCGAACAAAAAGATCACTTCTTCTGTATTTTTTTTATTGTTTGAATTATGATAAGTTATTTGAGTTCAACCGAATTAGTGTGGAAAAGTCCATTTTTTTTAAAACATGTACTCGAATAAAAAGAAATATTGTTCGTTTGTGTCGTCAGTGTAGGATTTTATTCGAATATATATATATAGACTGATGAGGATGATTTGAAAATAAAAACAAAAAGTAGTTACGAAATCGCATCGCAAAATAAATTGGTCCATCTGTTGAACAAAAGTACAATTGCACGCACTCCAAACTCAGTCTGTGTTCAAATTAAATTAATTGTTTTTCTACAAAGAGAAAGAGACGAAATCATCGCGAAATACTCGAATCTAGAATCATTTTAAAAAGAAAGCGTTTCGTTGTATCATATTGAGAGAAAGAGATAAAAAAAAACTACAAAATCCATTATGCCTCACTATTAAATGTTATGCACGTTGATCCGGAGAATCCAAGACAAGTACAAATCCGGCAAGTCAGCAAAAGTATTACAAACTATTAAAAATTAAACATAAACACAATAATTCGATTTGAAACAGCATTTTGTTTTATTTTCCCTTTTGGCGCCATTTCATGTTTACAGTGTCCAACGAAGAAAAAACCGTTGCAAGCGTCCGAATTTAAAAATTGAATTGAATTTTTAAAATGAACGCATCTGGCTCTACGTCTGCACTGAAAGCGTGTAACACCAACAATGTGATGTGACATTTGTGTCGCGGTTGACAGACACTGTCAAGAGGTAAGATAAAGTGCATTGGTACAATTAGAGTAAACGAAGTAAGTTGAAGAACGAATCTGTTGTAAAAATGGATGGATTTTTGGTGATGGAGAGCCAACTGATTAAAGTGGAAGGTAAGCTAGAGCCAGAGATTTCAGTGGTGCTTAAAAATCAGCCTTATTCATTAAAATACAAATCATCCATGCATTGTTTTCCAGTCGACGAAAATGCAAACTTTCACTGCATCGTTTGCAAAGCCGAATTTCTGTCACGAACTGAGCGCAATGAACACTTGGAGACACATTTCGTGCATCGCAGTTGTAAGAATTGTAGTAGGCCAGTGATTATCATCGGCGATTTGGAATTTGAACTGCATCACCCGACATATTGTAAGCAGAGAGAACCGGCAACACCGGTACACGAGGATATCTTTGAGGCCGACTATTCGCTGGACGAAGACACAGACCAAATCGTCATTTACAAGTGTGAAGATGAAGAAGCTGAAGGAGAAGAGGCCGAACGAGAGGAGGCGGAGGAGGAGGAGGAACAAGAAGAATCGGACATCGAATTTCATCACAAAACAATGCAAAACCAAATCAAAGTTAATTATGATGATGATGAAGCCAACAGAGTATTAAGTATTTTAAAGCCTAGAAAAGGGAGACTGGCGCGAAAGGCCAAACAGAAAACCACCAAAAGAAATACGGGCCAAAGCAATGAAACAATCGAAACCAATTCGGACCGTGTCAAAGCAGAGAGCGAAGATGATGTGATCAAAGAAATGAATGTAGCCATGAAAAAACGCCGTAAACAGTATGCTAAACTACCAAAAACCTTACCATGCACAATGTGCGATGCAATGTTCGGCAGCGAACGAACGCTTAAAATCCACATGAATCAAGTGCATGGCATTAAAGAGCGATACATTTGTCCGATTTGTCAAAGGGAGTTCAAAATTAGCGGAAATTTGAAACAGCACATAGAGACGCATTCTGACTATAAACGTTTTATTTGCAATTACTGCGGGAAAGGCTTTCACTTGCCGTACAATCTAAAAGAGCATATGAACACTCATACTGGAGCTCGGTAAAGTCTTGAATTTAATTCTAAAAGGTTTTTTAGCAACATACAGCAATTTCTTTCCAAATTCTCTCTTCGTAGGCCTTATAAATGTGAAACATGCGGTAAAACCTTCGGCAGAAATACCCTAAGGCAGGCACATATGCGAGTAAGGCATTAAGCATCAAATAATGTATTAATTCTTTTGAAATTTATCCATATCTCATTTCAATTTATTCTGTGCCAGACCCATACAGGGGAAAAGCCGTACAAATGTGATGCAGAAAACTGTGATCGTGCCTACGCTTATCAAACGGATTTGAAACGACATCGGCGATCTATTCACGGCATCATATTAAAAACGTTCGAATGTAATATTTGTGGAAAAATATTTTATGAAAACAAGTTTTTAACTAAACACCAACGCACTCATCAAAATACCTGAACGTATCATCAGGGCAATGCTTAACAGTCATTTTTTTTTAAATAAACCTTTTTCAAGGGTGTTCATTTCTTTAAGGATAAGTTACCAAATATTTTGACCTTTTTCTCATCTCATCACATTATATTTTAAATTCAATGTTAATAAAATGATTTTTTTCAAAAAAGACACAAACAAATCTTCTTTGACACAAAGAAAATGGTCATTTGTACGTTTGAACATATTTTTCGCATGTATTGTGCATCCGCATCAACAAACTATTTGACATCGGGCAACCCCAATACATACATAATGCAATGGTTTAATTGTCAAAACATGAGAAGAAAACAAACTAAACAGACATTTTTTTTCTGTTTTGGAATTTGTTTGAAATTTTTCCCTTTATGAATACAACAGAATGGGTGAAAGTGATGGCGATAGTTTAGCAATAATTCTGAGCGTAATTGAAGGTTGTATTGAAAATTGAATAAGTGATTGAATCAATTGTAATTTTAAAATGTGATATCCTTTTTCGTAGGCACTGGCTTTGACTCACGCAAATATGCGATTATTATCAAAGCAAATTTGGGCGGTAATATCCTTGAAACGGATGCTGTTGTCCCTGGCGAAGTGAAGGCCTCGTTTAAAAACAACCTGATTTGGTCTACAAACAAAGAAGCCATTAAACGGTAATGCGGATATATGAAGTAGATAGAAAAACATTGATTCAGTAGAATTAGCGCTAAAATTGTGTTGCCTCTTTGTTGTCCTGTACAATTGAGACAAATGATTGATACTATGAATTGTGTGTTTAGAATGAAGGAAGAAAATCAACCAATCAAGTTGGAGTGCTTTTTCCAAGTGAATGAAAGTCGGCGAGATGAAATTGGTTTTGTGTTGATCCCATTGCGTACGATCCCCTATTGCAGTAGCCGTAAAACGGGTATGATGAAGCCACATTGGTATAAATTACATGGCGTATCACAAGATAACAAGACGCATAAACCAGAGCTCCTGTTGAGTGTTACGATCGGTGATAAAGATGAGATACTCAATGATCATGAAAAAATGGTAAATTTTATACAAATATTCCGAGTTATTTAGTGGTAACATCACTATTCTTCTGTACGTTTTTCCCAGTTGGTGCAAGATGAATCTCCCATGAATGATGGTGAAAATACAGAGTTAGACGTTGATATTCTGAGATCTGACGCTAATTTAAATATTCAAAAACTTGGCGAAAATGAGATTAGCCTCGGTGGAATTGAGAATAGTGGGCAACATGAGTTCAAAGTGGATATTTGTCTGAAGCATATCGATCAGTGTGATCATTTGGATGAAAAAGTTGACTTGGTTTACATGTTTTTCGATCAACATAAAATTGAGCTCAGCAAAAATTTCGAGGATAAACAATTTCATATCGATCAAATCGTTTCTTTGAAACTCAAGTCATCTTTGAATGATCTTATTCTTTACTTTCGCAATATTTTTTCACTTCCAATTATTTTGGCATCGCATGAAAATAACTTTAAGGGTATGTATCGAACTCAAACAAAATTAAAACCAAAGTGGTGTTTTTGAAAATATTTCACTCAATCACGAATGCAAATTTGAAGCGTTGAATTAGTGTCAAGCATTGATTGTTATGAAATGAGACTACGAAAACATTAACTTCTATTTGCCAATGGTTGCTTGAGATATTTTCTTTGTCGTTTTGAATAAATATTTTGAACAATTTCTCATTTTTCAATCAGGTGCAACCCACTTGACTTTTGGTGATAGTCTATCCACGCTACCTGCTTCCGTTGAGTCATTCCAAGAGATATTCAGTGCAAAGAATTTTACATATCAATTTGATAGTTATTCCACAATTGTTTTCCCAACCAGTGAAAATGAAGATAACGAATCCAATCTCCACTATAGTTTTAGTTTGAAATTGATTCCATACAGTAGCGACAAACCGGCTAGCCCAACTAGCTTATTGCTTCCTTATACTACATTGCACTCGCCGAGCTTCAATAAAATTGCTTCCGTATCCACTGCACCAAATGCAGCACCTGTCGATCAAATCGATGAAAAAGAAGTGATAAATCTCGAGAATATCAGAGAAAAATACACGGGCGATGCAACCATGACCATTCCAAAGACATTTGCTTATACGCTATCGCTATTGGATTGTTCTTTCAACAAGCGACCATTTCCAGGAATTTGGCAATTGAGGTGAGTAAAACACACACACACACATAGTCTATTATTAATATAATATATTTCTTTCAGTTTGCAGCATCCTGCCGCCGATGCATCGACGGTCATTCGTAACCTTGAAATCAGTGACATTGTGATTGATCAATTATCCTTTGAAGATATGCACTTACGTTTGTGTTTCACAACACATCCAGATCAACTATTCGAGCTGATCAAATCAAAACCGTGCCTATTAACTCTGAAAGGGCCTCGAGGTGTTCATGCGTCTGCCGAACTTGATAACCATAATATTTTAACTCAAGAGAAAACAAAGGGGATCGTTCTATTGGAGAGCGAGCAAAGTGAACAAATCGCAATGGCTCACATATCCGTGCAAACCGAAGAGTTAGGTTTGAATTTCAATACCGATGCCACTCTCAAAGCGCGGCAACAGCAGAAAAACCAACAGCTGACCAATGTATTTCCAGATGAAAATCTAGCATACCGAATGATTGAGGAGCTGGAGGAATGGAAACAGGTTCAACGGCAAGAATTTTTAGCTGAATTGAAGCGACATGAAATTGCCCATCTGACACAATTATCGAACGAATGGCAACGTAAACGACGTGAACAAGAGTTGAAGTTACAGAAGAAAATGGACCATTGTGATCGGCTGACGCAGACGCTTGAGGAGGCGCACAATATGTTCAAAGAACGAAATCGGAGTGATATCGAATATGAGCAGACACTTTTGAAAACTAAGAGTGATTTGGAACGATGTTATGCTAAAAAGATCGACTCTCTCAACGGCAAAATATTGCAAATGGAAAAGGAAAACTTTATCAAACAGAAAAATGAAGAAAAAATACTCAAAGAGATTGAATTGGAGCGAGATCAATTAAAAACTGAGAATAAGAAGTTGAAAGCTAAAATGAAAGTGCTGGAAAAAGAGGTGCAAATAGGGAGCAGTACGGATGATAGTACCCAAGAGCAAATCAACGAATTGAAGGAATACGTTGTAAGTGATGATTTTTGAAGGCAACTCTACGTACATATTTTTATTTAAGCTTACTTTGTTCATTTTTTTCAAATAAGAACCTTTTGAGCGATGAGCTTGAGAAAATGAGAAAGTCGAAAATGATATACAAAGAACGCTGGGCACACATTGTGAGAGAGATTCAAAAGATCAAGTACAAAAATAGTAACGAGTTCAGCAACGATGATGAAGATTATCAGAGGTAAACTGATCTTTCAAATTACGATCTTAAAGATTATAATTGTTCACTTTTATCTCATTCCAATTCAACAGATTGAACGAGCTCTTGAAGTCCGCCCGAACAGACATAAGCAACGAGTAATTGTTTAAAAAGACGCACATTGACATTGAGGTCCATCTAATGAGATTCAACAGATGACCAGAAGCCTTAAAATTGCCTTATAAGCCACAACTTTGTTCTTTATTCTCACCTGCAATATCAAATCAAGATTTGCCTGTTTAGATTTCTTGTTGAAAATGTTATTTATTCGATAGTATTGTTTATAATCGTGTTTTTTTTTGTGTTTGCGTATTAATTAAAGCGTTCCCATGTTCAGAAAAATAGCATAAATGCCGTTATTTTCTTTATTTTTGAAATAGTGTAGTAAAATGCATCGATTGAAAGAGGTTAAATTAATAGACAAGTGAAATTAAGAATGAGTGAGAGTAACTGTGATAAGCGCTAGAGGTTAATTTGATCGATGTTTAGCACATTCCACGGTCCTGGACCCGTTTGCGTGGAGCAGCTCGGATGATGTTATCCACTCGGAGAATCATTTCAGCTGCTTCGGTCGCCGAAACTAATACTTGACGCTTAACGACGAATGATTCGGTAATGCCCAATTTCTTCATGCAGTCCACTTTGCCCTCGTCCATGCTCAAACCGGAAGAATGTTTGCCCTGAACGTGAGCGGCCCGTAATTCAGCAACCAAAGCAGCTGAATCATAACCGGCGTTGTCGGCGATTATGGTTGGCAATTGCAACAAAGCATCTGAAATACCAGACATTTATTGTATTAAAAATCTACATTTTATAGAAAACTTGAATAAATTGCTGTCTAATACATACGTGCAAATGACTCCATAGCGATTGATTCCTTTCCAGCGGTTTCGGTGGCAACCTTTGAAACGGCGACGGCCATCAAAGTTTCTGAGCAACCACCTCCGTAGATGATGTGTGATTCCTTGACAGTAGCAGCCAATACGCAAAGTGCGTCGTGCAATGAACGTTCGGCCTCATCGATGATTTGTTGTGTGGCACCACGGATAACAATGGTACAGGCTTCACCCAAAGCAACGCCGCTGAAACGAATCAAAGTATCTTCTCCGATCATCACTTGTTCGATGAGGTCACAACTACCCAATTTCACTTGATCCGGGCATTCGAACGTTGAAACGATTTCACCGCCGGTGACCAAGGCCAAACGTTCGATTCCATCAAAGTCAGCGTGTTCAATTGCCATGACACCAGCATCGGCAAACAATTGTTCTGGATAGTTGTAGATCAACTGACGATTGATGAAAACGTTACATTTGTGATTCAAAATTTTGTTGACTTTGTCTTTCATTTTTTCCTTTTCGGCCATTTCCAAGTCGGCAATCTTGGCCATTGAATCGACCTTGATTGATGAACCGAACACTTTGATTTTGTCTGTGTCCATCGGTGTATTGGCGATCAAGATTTTGGCATTTTCAATGCGTTTTGGTTGATGTACACCGGGTCGTTTGTCCAATAAGAAACCTTCATCGAGAAATGAGTCTTCCAACACACCGCCACTCTTCTTGATGATTTGGATTGCGCTCAATTCACCAGATCCCTTAAGACGAAGTACAGCGTCGACAGCCAAATTTGCAAAGAAACTATAAACAGAAACAAAATTCCAATCAATTTAGAATATGGAATCAATATGTATATTGATTTACAAGCCTATGATTTCAGTTCAAATACTCACTCTTTGTGCTGGCACAAAATTTTCGAGCTCAATGTGGTGCGAGCGATGTTTAACAGATCCGCTTTGAATGCGGCTTCATCTTTAGAATTGTCTTGTGCGAATTTGGTCAATGCATCACGAGCCACATCGGCAGCCAAACGATAACCAGCAATGATTGTTTGTGGATGTAATTTCTTTTCAATCAACTTTTCGGCTTCGCGCAACAATTCAGAGGCGAGCACTGTGACTGATGTGGTGCCATCGCCGACTTCATCGTCTTGCACACGTGACATATCGACAAGGATTTTTGCAGCTGGATTATCCACACCGACAGCTTTCAAAATTGTGGCACCATCATTGGTCACTTCCACTTGACCAGCATTCCGACCCGATGAGTACAAGATTTTATCCATTCCCTTTGGGCCCAGTGTGCTCTTCACCAAATCACCAATTGCAATTGCACCGACAAACGATGACAACCGAGCGATTTCGGCTTTCTCTTCGTATGCCTCATTTTTCAATATACGAATTGGATTCAATGCAACTTCCTAAATGACAAAAAATTAAATAATCATTTACATAAATCAAGGGTGATCTAATCTTCTTTTGTAAAAATCTCAGTAACATTAGAAACAATGGTTGCTATTGAATGAGTCATAAATCGATCTGCCGTGGGTTTGTTCGTGAATTTGACACTGAATCGTTTATAACCACACTTTTTTTCCAGAATTTTCATTTGCGATTTATATTTTTTATTCAAAAATTTGGTCTACAATTGGAAGTTGAAATTTTTCAAACATTTTGCGCTGTCGATAAATCTCTTCATGCAAAAATTTTGATAGGATTTTTGGAATGGTCGAGAAATACGTGACTCCTATGTAGAACACACAAAACTATTCACGTGCTACGGTAGAAGCAAATAGAACAATCACACCCGGCGTCATTATTCTCATCTTTTTCCACGGATATTCAATCCAAACCCATTCAATTGCATTTAATCGAATAATATTTGTAATAAATTTCACAATTTATAAACTTTTTTCTATTTTACGCACCATTTTGATAGATTTTTTATTGAATTTTTTAAATTGTGACTAAGAGCCAAATGGAATATCACACTGCACAAAAGAGAATGAAATGACTGTGACTGTTAGGTTGGCAACGCTAAGCAGAACATGAAACAAGAGAAAGAGAGTGAAAAAAATGAGAGAATACAAAATTTTTGACATTTCAAGCACATACCAACACATGTGTGCGGTTTGACAGTTCGTCTCTGTCTCCGTAACACGTGTGGAAAGCAAGCAGAAAATTTGTTTACAGTTTGACGGCAACACGGTGTAGTGCTTTTTGAAATTTAATTTAAATATTATTCGATGAAATTCAATTTGAACCATCAAAATGGGTAAACGAAGACACAATGTGAAGGGTCGGCAAGTGAATGATGTTATCGTGGATAACACTGAAACGAAAAAGGTAGGTTGTTATATAGAAATTATGATGCGGCTGTTTCACTAGTTTTGTTTCGGTAACCATAGATTAAACTGGAGATAAATGGTGCGGCTGATGAATATGGATACGATCAATCGAATGCACTGGTCTTACCATCGAAGAAACGAGAAACGAAAATAAAAAAGCCAGAGCAGAAGCATGTGACCCGCATTCTTTCAAAGAAACAACGCAAAAATCTGGAGAAAATTGTGGAGAAGAAGAAGAAAAAAGAAGGCGTAAGTTATTCGTTGGAACTATAATCCAATTTTTTGGGTTTAATAGCAGGAAAACTAATATGAATTTGATTTGTAGCGATCGGAGTTGCTTGAGAAATTGGCAACAGTCCAGTTGCCGGCAAATGATTTGAAAAAATTAACATCAATTGTCAGTGTCCAAACGAAGGGTGTGAAGAAGTTTATGCAAGTTGGCGACTTGAATAATGTATTAAAATTAGCTGAAGTTGATGACAGCAATGACAAGGAACAGAAACGATGGAGTAGCATCGCCGGAAAGAAGCGCAAGGAGAGATTGGCTCTTTTACATGGGTTTGTACTGTTTTCTAATTTCTAATTGAATGGACAATCGTTAACCGAATTTCGCTAATTTCGTAAACGTTTCTCTTTTTCAAATCGGCAGATATAATAAGGATGATGATGATGACGACGATGAAAATGCGGCACAACGTGATTTGAATGTGATTGGAACTGAGGTATTGAGCTCTAGTGAGGATGAAAGTGAAGAAGTAGAAGGGGAAGAAGGAGATAATGATGATGACAAAGACCAAAATGAGAATGAAGCGGAAAAAAATGCTGAAACTAATTCACAAAGCGAGAAAAATGGTTCCAACAAAGATTGGAAAGTTGAAGACCAAACTACTGGAAACGCTGACAAAGAAGATGTAGAAACTGTGGAGACGACGGAAAAAGGCAAAAAGAATGAAAAAGAGAACAAAGCGAATTCTAAACACAAGACAGCTGCAGTTGAACGTAAACCAGTTGTATACATCGCCGTGGATCGTACATCCGAAGTGCAGGCTGCTCGGTTGCAATTGCCAATTCTAGGTGAAGAACAAGTCATCATGGAAGCGATAAATGAAAATAATATCGTGATTTTAGCAGGGGAAACAGGTTGGATTATTAGAATAAAATTGTTTTTTTTAGAATAACACGTCTATGAAAGTCATAGAAATGTGTAAAATAGTAGAGTTTTTTGCGTTGTCGCCAGCGCCGTAGCGTAAAAAAATTCCAGGTGGGGCTCAGCCCCGGCAATTATTCAAACAAAATATTCTCAATTCAAATCTTTCTTCTTATCTTTAAACAGGAAGTGGTAAAACCACACAAGTGCCACAATTTCTGTACGAAGCCGGGTATGCGGAGAAGAAAATGATTGGCGTAACTGAGCCTCGTCGTGTGGCTGCTATATCGATGTCGAAGCGTGTCGCACACGAAATGAATCTATCTTCCGATATCGTTTCCTATTTAATTCGTTTTGAAGGTAACACAACCGAAAGCACTAAAATCAAATTCATGACCGATGGTGTTTTGCTGAAAGAAATCGAGTCGGACTTCACGTTGAACAAGTATTCTGTCATTATTCTGGATGAAGCTCACGAGCGAAGTGTTTATACGGATATTTTAGTTGGTCTTTTATCGCGAATTGTTCCGTTACGCCAGAAGCGAGGAAATCCATTAAAATTGATCATTATGTCTGCCACACTTCGAGTCGAAGATTTCACAAAAAATAAGCAACTATTCAAAGTACCTCCGCCCGTATTGAGTGTGGAAACACGTCAATTCCCGGTAACAATACACTTTAACAAATACACGGCTGACGATTATGTCAAGGAAGCCTATAACAAAACGCTCAAGATTCACACAAAGCTACCTGAAGGCGGAATTCTAGTTTTTTTAACTGGTCAACAAGAGGTGAACAATTTGGTACGTAAGTTGAGAAAAGCGTTTCCATATAAACCACTGCCAAAGACAAAAGATGAATCGAAGAGGGCAAAACAAGAAGCTGCGAAGCCAAAAAACTCGGAGAATGACGACTCCGAAGATGAGTTCAATATACGACGAGCTATTCGAGATGTGAAAAAATCCAAAAAGAAACTTGCTGCACAAATGGCCATTCCAAAAGTGAATTTGGATGAATACAAACTGCCATCAGACGATACGGAAGCCGATCTATTCGAGATGAACAGTGATGTGGGTGGGGAGAGCGACTCTGAATTGGGCAGTGATACCAATTTGGAGCATATGACAGCGTTGAAAGCATCTCAACCGCTTTGGGTATTGCCACTTTATTCATTGTTGCCATCGTATAAACAGCAAATGGTGTTCGAGCCACCGCCCGAAGGCACTCGTCTGTGCATTGTGAGTACGAATGTTGCGGAAACTTCACTCACAATACCGAACATCAAGTATGTTGTAGATTCGGGTCGACAGAAAACCCGTTTATACGACAAAGTAACGGGAGTTAGTGCATTTGTGGTGAATTTTGCTAGTAAAGCAGCGGCAAATCAACGTGCTGGTCGTGCTGGCCGTACTGCAGCGGGTCATTGCTATCGATTGTACTCAAGTGCCAAATACAACGATGATTTTGTTGAGTTCGCTGTTCCCGATATCCAAAAGAAACCGGTTGAAGATCTCATGCTACAAATGAAATGTATGGGAATAGATAAAGTTGTTAATTTTCCATTTCCTTCGCCACCCGATTTGATTCAATTGAAAGTTGCCGAGCAAAAATTGATGCTGTTGGGTGCATTGGAACGCGCTTCAAACACGACTGACGAAACACTCACTCGCATTACATCACTGGGAAAGGCCATATCAGTCTTCCCAGTAGCACCTCGCTTCGGGAAAATGTTGGCCTTGAGTCATCAACACAATCTCTTGCCATACACGGTTTGCTTGGTGGCTGCGTTATCCGTGCAAGAGGTGTTGATTGAAGTGACCGCTGAAGACGATGAACAAGTTTTGAAAAAGTCAAAATGGACGGCAAAGCGGAAGCAGTGGGCAGGAGAAGGCAATTCATTATTACTTGGCGATCCATGTGTTTTGCTTCGAGCTGTGGGTGCAGCTGAATATGCACATTCAACGGGCAAACTGGATGTATTCTGTCGAGACAATGGACTGCGTACAAAAGCCGTTACAGAAATCCGAAAACTACGCATTCAACTGACAAATGAAATTAATTTGAATATGCCAGATGTTGAATTGAATGTGGATCCAAAGTTGAAACCACCAACGGATGTACAGGCAAAATTACTTCGCCAAATTTTACTGTCGGGAATGGCCGACCAAGTGGCTCGATTGATTCCGCAAGATGAAATTGCTGATAAAGATGAGCGAAGAAAATTTAAATATGCATATAAACGGCATGACATGGAAGAGCCGGTATTCTTGCATTCATCATCCGTTCTCCGTAACAGTCGACCAGAGTGGGTGGTGTATCAAGAGATTTACGAAATTCAAAACGGAGACACAACCAAAATGTATATGAGAGGAGTTACCGCCATCGAATCGGATTGGCTTTTAATCTACGCAAATCCATTATGCAATATAAAATCCATCAAGGAAACGCCAGCGCCAAAATACAATCCGAATAATGGTAAAATTTATTGTCACTGTGAAGCAACATTTGGCCATTCAGGATGGGAAATTCCTGTCGCTGAAATCGAAATGCCAATCAATGAATTGGTGTTCAAGTGAGTTGTTGATTTATTGGGTTACTATCGATTTTTTGTGTGTTAACTTAATTTTTTCTGTTGATTTCAGACATTTTGCCATGTTTTTCTTGAGCGGTGAGATATTCACACAGCTAAAAGCAAATGTGAAATTGTTGCGGTCGTCTCCGAAGAATATTGTGAAATTGTGGGCACAAAATACACCACATATTCTAGGTTTTGTCAATGCATTGATCAGACATCAAGTGAATAATAAACAGAGAATTCTAGACATTTGGAAGAAAGACCAATTTTGTACGTACCACTTTATAAACATATCAACTTTTTTGCATTCGATATGAACTAATTGAGGATTTTTTTTTTTCAATTTTGCAGATCTTCTCAAAGAGTATCGAAATTTCCTGATTGAATCAGCATCTGATGTTGCCTTGAAATGGCCGCCAATTGATTAATTATAATTGGATCATAAGTGTTTATTTCAATTAAAATCAATTAATGACTCTCCTTTAACGATCCATGATGTAATGAGCTCGTACAATAAAATAAATTGTTCATATATGAAAACCAACTGACTTTGTGTGTTCACTTTTAAAGCCGATATTTTTATTATGATTCAAACATTTAACTGACTTTTTCATGTGAATTTCTTGTTTTTTATTTTACAATTCAAATCTTATTTTTAGTTGTTCTTCAAAAATATCATTTGATGGAAAAAAAAATTAGAAAATTTGAAGTGATTTTTGAGAAGACATAATGGGAGAGAAAAAAAGCCATTTATCCAAATAAATTAATTTACAATTGTGTTGTTTGTTCAAGAATTCTTTTCAAGCGTCTTGGGAACAGAACATATTTTTTTTCAACTTTTCTTTCAAAATCAATGTAGTGCAAGATCTAGCGTATCAACTAATATAAAAAAAACAATAACAAAGAAGAGAAAAGAAAATAGTACAACAATTTCAATGATAATAAAATATTCAATAAAAAATAGGGGCAAAGTAAAGTTTGTTTAAAAATTAAAATCAAAAAGTTAAAAATTGTACAATACTCGTATTCAAGTTCATTTTCAATCCTAATCCCTAAGCTCTATGGTCTATGCGTGAAAGCTATTATTGTATTTTTACTAATAGTGCCATTTAAAATGACATTCTTCGTTGATTGTAAGCAAAATTGGTTTCTTTTGATGCGCGTTGCTGATTCATCTAGCGAGCTGAATGATTAGAGCGGCGCACATTTCGAAGAATTCCATTGTGTGATGGCCGGTTGGCTGTTGTGGCATCACCGGTATTCCCATTGCGTTCGGTGGCGTTGCATTGTCCATAATGACATCGTCGCCCTGCTCGACTTCTTCGTTTGTCAGCGATTTGAAATCCAATAGATAGCTTTTTGCGTCGACTTGATACAATTGCAATGACATTTTCACGTCGTGTTTTCCTTCCGATTTGTTTACACGCCGCACTCGCACATGGTACGGATTGATAATTTTCCATTCATAGTCTAAGGCCTTCATTGCCCGATATACTTCGAGCATGATGTCGTTGGGTTTGCTTTGCGATCGAATGCCCAGATGCCATTTGGCTCGTTTAACTGGGGTTCCGCGCATTTTTTCGTTGCCAATTGGACCTGCGGTGGGTGGATTCGGGCCACCGGAAAGTGAATTATTCATTGCTGCTGCACGTTCGCGTAGTGGTGCGATTCGTTCTGGGTGTCGAAATGAGGCTGGTGATCCATCGCTACCCGATGATTTGTCAATTGTGTTATTCGGACTGTAATGGGTTGGTGGTGGACTCGATGGTGGTACAACGTAGAAGTTTTCCATTTCCGATTTGGCCGCCTCATCGGCGAAGCGCTTATTGTCGATAATCAAGTGATAGGCAATGGCCAATTGATCGTGGCGATCGCCGCTCAGCAATGCATTGTGCACTTCGACTTCTTTGACACCGAATTTAATGCAAACTTCGGCCACGGCCAGTGTATCGACGATGTTACTATCGTTTTCGATCGATGACGGGAACAAATAATTCGGCAAGTCACGTTGGAACCAATCGTGCTTCTTGATTTCTTCGATGGTCGCTCGTTTCAATGGATCCACTTGTAACATCTGACACAGCAAGCTAATCACATTTTTATTTAAATACTCCGGGATAGCGAAGATGCCAGATTTTATTTTCCGAAAGAGCGTCGGGACGTGTTCATCATCAAACGGCAATGTACCACACAGCAAAGCGTAGAGGATGACACCACATGACCAGATATCGACTTCTGGGCCAGCGTACAATTTTCCAGAAATGACCTCGGGTGCCGCATAGTTGGGCGAACCACAAGAAGTACGCAAAAACTCGCCATCCAACATCATATTACTCAAACCAAAATCCGCAATTTTTACGTGACGATTGTGATCGAGCAGGAGATTTTCTGGTTTTAAATCACGATGTACGATCATATGTCGATGGCAATAGTCAACGCCCGAAATAATTTGTTGGAAAAATCGTCGTGCTTCGTGTTCTTGTAGTTTTCCATTCTTTACGATGTAATCGAACAGTTCGCCGCCACTTACGTACTCCATAATCATAAAAATGTCCGTTGGAGTTGAAATCACCTGATACAATTTAATGATGTGTGGATGTCGGAATAATTTGAGATTTTGAATCTCCCGTCGAATTTTCCCAACGACATCAAGCGATCGAATTTTCTGTCGATTCAAGATCTTAACGGCCACTTTATGTTTGGTCAGTTGATGTTCGCCAATTTTCACCTTGCCAAATGTGCCCGTTCCTAGTGTTGCTCCGAGCGTGTAGTGTCCGATTTTGACTAGTGGCTGTTGCACCGACGGCGATGGTGATGATGCATTACTACGATCTGACATTTTGACAATAGTTTTCTTGATGCTCACGCAAAATATACAGAGCTACGTTTGTCCGATAAAAATGACGTGTTTGTTTTCTTTGTTTCGTGTATCGAGAGATGTGCGGATAGGTCACTAATTGGAAAAAAATGTCTTTTTAAATGGTTTGTTTTGATTTCACTTGTCCTTTCAAGAAAATACACAAATGAAAATTGCGAAAAAGTTCATTTGTGATATCGTTTTGCGTTGTTACGACATCATTATAAAATTTTTCCAAGTCTCAATGCTAATGCGTTGCACTTAGATTTGCCTTTATTTAGTCCAATTAAATTTCACTGATAACACAGCTGCTGACCACGAAAATTTACAATCGATTTTTATATTGATATGCCACACGCTTTGTCTAGATCTTCACGATTGAATGAGGTTAATTTGCATTAAATTGCAGACACGTCCTGTTGTGACACACAAAAATATACTTTTCACTACAAAGCCATAAAAAAAATAACTACACGAATGTGTCAATTGTGTTGCCTTTACGTTTTCAACACAATTGGGAACGTTTCGGAAAACAAAGTATGGATATTATATAAAATACGCATGAAATAAACACATGAATTGTCAATTGTCAATGGTTCGCAGCTGTCAGCGAACATACTCTCGCTACATCCAATTAGTTTGTTTTATTTATTACGAACGTTTGACGATATTTTCTAACAGGTCTCATACATTCCATTTGTGTTGGCCATTCTTGAGCTGTGGTTTGAGGGGAAATTTGTCATTTATTTTCAGTTCAACGATGTTATTGCACTCACTTTCTACAGAATGTACATGCTTCAAACCCATTCGGATTTGAAATACGATATCGCGGCATACCAAGTGAAAATTCATCATTTCTTAATTTGGCGCTTTGTTTAGTTTGGATTTGAATTTGTAAATTATATTATTGTGTCCTTTGGAATTGCGAGAACGTATACGTGCTATTCACCTCAATACAAATTGAACTGGACCAGAACTTTCATGCCATTTCCATTTTAGCTTTTGAAAAATCCTATTTTTTCGTTTTGGAAAAGCCGTTGAAAGACCAAAATGAAAGTTACATTATGAAACACCGTTATGATATTGAACAAACCAAAGATTTTAGAAAACAATGGTTGTTGTATTTCAATGATGCTTTGATTTTCCATTCTATTCATTGCATCACTTTTTAGAGTCAATTCCCAACACTCAATTTCATTCCATCAACATTGAAAAAATGTAATTTGATCCATCGATAAATTAAATGAACTGCTTAAACAACTATCAACTACAGCCAAAATTGAAAATTTTGTCTGAATTTCTGAGAAATTTGGTGTTCATTTTCAAGTGATACATCGTCCCAATATCCAAATATATTATATGTATTTAAACCGAAATAATTTTCGTTTGGCATACCTATGAATCATTTCTGTTGAAAGTGTACTTGTGGGAATGAGTAAGTACAAATAGAAATAAAAGCAAAAATGGATAAATGGCAATTGAAATTTTATCACCATTTACGATGTTTATCTTAACGATTATGGTTTGCGTTTGAAATAACATAGTTCATGGATAGACGCGGAACGGAACCTAAATTTGACAAAACTGGCATACATGTGAAAATTAGGAGTACGCACACATACAATCATCCCATATTTACTACAACATTCGTATGCGCGCTCCTGAGCATGGTTCCAACAATAGTGACGGTTTGATTGTGTTGCGCTTGGTGTGAGTGTGAGCGAAGCGCAATCCGAATAACGAATCGTCAAGTCAAGAAAGAGAGCAAACATACGAATGAAAAAAAAACTTGTATTTTCAATATGTATATATGTTGCATTGTCGTCAATAGTTGTGTACACACAAGCAGCAACAGCAAATGAAGAGAGAAAAAACACATCAAATTCTAATATATTTACTAATAAAAAGTGTGCATTCTCCTATAATGTGTAATGTTCGTTTAGTGTGCGTGTGAGTACAATTTACTTGCGACATTTTTTTCGTTTCCACGATATTTTCGGGTTTTTCAAATCCCATAAATCATATTGTGCTTGGCTAAAACAAGAACTTCAGTTTGATTTGCAATTTATGCCGTGATTTGTTTGAAATTAATTTTGATAACGCCTTTATTTGAAGTAGTTTATTGAAATCGAGTGGAACTTAAGCAGCGAATGAAAATGTGAATTTAACTAAAAATATCGGTACTATATCGAATATTCAGTCAGAGAATGAAAATGAATCGGTCGTACAAAGTGGCAACGAATGGATTTGTGACGATAATTTGCCATTAGCAGAGAGAAAAACAAGTATTTGTTGTGAGCGGAATTACGGCTGAATTATTTTTTCGAGTGACGAAAGAACATAATTCGTTTGTATAGTGTCGAAAGAGAATTGTGTATGAAATAATTTCCATGGAAAAAAGGTTGAAACACACACACACACACACACAGAGAGAGAGAGACGTGAATATAAAGACATTGTAATACTCATCAAAAATTCAAACAAACTAGCTGGCTCGTCTATAATTTAAACAAGTAAGTGGCCTTAATTCACATTTGTTTATCTACATGTGCTAAACTCACTTGAAGTGTGATTCAAATTTGTTGATTTACTTGTAAAACTTGGCATGTGTGTATCGACGACGATGACGACGACGACGATTATTGTTGATTGTAGCGCGTCAGTGACAATGAAATCAAAATGCGCTTCGATCTAATTTATCAACTTTATCAAATCATTGTAAAAATAGTAGCAATACACCGCAAGAATTATTGGCCAATTCATTCACAAAAATTGTGCGCTTTGTTTTTATTTATTGTTTTATTCGTTTGTTTGTTTGTTTGTCGGTTTTTCCAGAGCATGCTGTCAACGTGTAAATACATACACATAAAAGTCACACTCTACCGTTTTAACGTATTTACTAATCGAGTGGGGGTTTTTCTCTATCTCTTTCTCTCCCACTTCTCTCGTCTGTGGTGGGATGATGCGACTCACTTTATTATCTCTTCCCATTCTTTTTCATCATAAATGTATTCGCACACAACTTTCGCTCCTAATTCCATTGACTAGCAGTCACTTTTACTTTTCAACGTGTAACCGATGATTTTTCTCCTAAGACTCTGAAGAAGGCGGTGGAAAAAAAAGAGGAATTTCCTCAGCAACAGCAGCATGAACATTTCTTCGGGAAAAGTTTCCATAGTGTTTGAGTGGCATTTGTTGTGCCACAACCGCTGAATGTATTGTAGAAGAGGATTGAATGAGACTGCTTTTTTCACCCTCTTTGTGTAAAACGTTCCTCCACCACCACCGTACCACCACCATCATTCATGTCGTTGCCATTTTACCCTTACTCTTATCCGTTGTCGTTATATGTGTGTTTCGGTAGGGATTCATTGTATCGAATAATGACGAGTCGGAAAACTGGAGCAACTTCATTTTTTCGCCACACAAAAGTGGCGTTTGCGATGTGCTGTTGAGCTGTTGATTCGCAATTTGATTTATGTAATGCCATTTTTCACAGATAATAATTACAGATTATTATATGCTAATTTTCAAACGATTCGTTCCTTGAACGGAATCTAGTCTCCGCTACATTGTATCGATTTTATACAATCATATACATGACTCACAACGAAAATGGATGAAGCAATTGGAATAGTTTGTGTTTGAAGAAAATAAACCGAACATTTTTAACATTTTTCTTCAATCCAAGTGAAAAGTAGTCTATTCGATAAATATCCGCTTCTGTGTTTTCATATGCAAATGAGCGACGTATTTTCAACGATTAAGAGGCGGTAATAAATTTTGATGACGTTTTCCGTTGCAGGCGCACGGCCAAACGATGCATACGAAAAAAAAAGTCCATTACATTCAACGGTTGTGCATTATGTTGATCAGCAAAAAGCAATAAATCCAACCGTTTATTCATTTTCCTCCTTTCCACACGTTTTGCGTATACATTTTGAAAAGATTCATTTCAGTATCAGCGATAAAAATGAGCATAAAAGTTGCAACGCTTTTGTATTTTAAGCGATGCCAATGAGTAACCGGATTTTATATATATTATTCATACAAACAAATAATTCCTCTGTCCAAAGTTGAGCACATATGAAGTATTTATGCAAACCAACTACAGTACGCGCTCTCACCGTTCATCTCGAACGATTCGGTTTACTTGAAGTTTTGTTTTTTGTGTGCAAACTTTAACTAATGAGTTTTTTTTTAAATTCAACAACTTTGTCAGTCCTCCAGTTTGTGACTAATCACTTGGTCAAGATACATCATACAGCTGGCAATATACATTTGATGTTTGGTAAAGATGCTAATTGAAACTTGCATGATTTTCAAAATGAGGGCTTTCTATTGAGAACATACAACTAGTCGTTGCTAAGAACAACAAAAATAAATAACAGGAAAGAAAAACTCGTATCGAAATATACACACGGTGCGAATGGTTCGTTGTGCCGCTATGCCGGTTATATGGATGTTCAGTTCGACTCTGGTGCTATTTTCAGTGGCAAAAAACACATTCAGAGACACCGAAGGGAAAATGCTATGGTAACTGAACTGACTCAGACACAGAGGCGAGGGTAAAATATTTTATGTCATTTATTATAGAGTAGGGCTGGCTGTCATGGATGTACGATGTGCGTAGCAGCGTATTCAATTCATTTGGTTCGGTGTTAGTCCCTTTTAAAAAACTGCTTTCTATGTATTTCATTCGGTTCGCAAAGAACTGGAGTAGGGAATGTCAAACATGAACACCACCATACTCGATACTCACGCTGAAAAGTGGAAGGATAAACTGGCAACATACAACGAGTGAGTAGGGAGAGAAAGAGAGAATGAGAGGAGCACACAAATGCACAAAATAAACTTGCTTTTCAAAGCAATGTGTTTTCATTTGGTTGTTTTCTTTTTCATTCAGTTAACAAAACAAAATGTGAATTCGAAAATTGTGCCGTGAGTCAGCGAATCGATGTGCGATGGCCAATGAACTTTGATTATCAATTCGTTTCATGAACAAATTTTTCTTCAACATACCTTGAAATAATCCATGATTTTCGCTTTAATGTTATGAATAGAAGCGATATCTTCAGCTTTTTGTTCGATTAATTAGCATAAAAAAATGTTGTTTGAAAAATGTATACACCCATTTGGTAATGTTTTGGTGTTCGATTCGTACGTACACGTGTTGAAAAGAATGCGCAAAGCACACAACACAACAATCGATTCCACTGAACGAATATATTAGGGAAAAGTGACGATAACGAACCGGGAAATTAATTGCATGACTATCGTTTGTGGCAACATGGAATGCAGCCGTTTTCGATTTCATTCAATGATGAATGAACATTTCATGAATGGAATCGCTCCAAAAAGCACACTCAATTATCAACCAGATGATCAATAGATCCGAAGCGAGCACGTGGTTTGTATGTATTACCACTTCCACCACCCATCATCCACCACTCTTTCGTCCAGAAGGCAACGTGCTTCGCGCCAGCTTCGTACAAACGATACCGTATGTTCTGACAAAGAATCGTACTAAGATAACTTTAATCTAAACCTCCCCACTCAATTTGAACGTCACGCCGAAGCAAAAGAAAGATAAATACAGTAAAAGACATAAACAATGCATAAGACGGAGCAAGTGGCTCTTTCAAATAGTAAAAGTAGCTTGTTTTCATAACATGAACCGCGTGGATTTTCAGAGTTTAAACAGGTGTTTTCAAGCATTTGACGTAAACGTGTGCGGATTCATAGCGCTAAAATGAAATTGTGCCTTCGTCGAACAAAGTTATTTTTTTTCGATATCTTGGAAAATATTATTTAATTGACATAGAACAGAACAAATCGATACGACAGTCTTTATATAGCAAACACATTTTGTAGATAGTCCCTTCAATACGTATATGCATACACATTTATTCAATTTGAATTCATAAATCCGCTGTATGCATCGTCAGACAATTCATACCTGGGTTTTAATTACAAAATCAGTTAACAAACTGCCGACACAATAGCTTTTATTGACCTGCAACCCACTTCCATTACCAACAGCAAATTAAAAATAATTGCGGTTTGTCGGAATGATGTGAATTTTACTTAATATTGTTGTACATTTTTCGATTGCTTGTTAATGAGCACAAACGGATTTATGAATATAATATTTCTTCGGTAAATCTATACACGAAAATAGATTTTTTTTTCCAGTCGCGCGAGCTCAGCTAAACGCTACGACGATTAATTTATATCAATTTGCTTTGCTCACTTTTTATTACTGACATTTTGCATATACATTTATTCATTCCTGATGCAATAATAACCACAAGTCAAATTGAATTTCGCCATGTCTGTGCTGTCGCTTGTGTTTTTACCGTGTAGATCTCTATGTATAAATTTGAATCTGTGTTACTTGATGTGACTGTACTTATTTCTTGGAATTCATCATCGATTTGATGTGTGACTTGCAAGTCATTTTTTTTTTCTTGGATACACACCGAACGATGATCCAATTTCGAAAATCCGATTCTTTTGAGTTTGCTGGTTGTTTTTGAAGCACTCCAAAATACATACATATTCATAAAAGGAATTTTTGGATTTTGTTTTACTTCGATTGACAAAAACAAACCGGTTTTTCGCTCTCTCTCTATCTCTCTCACTCGGTTTACACAAAAAATTATTTTTAGATTGTGTTAATTGACGAAGTTATATTATGACGTTGCCAAGTGGAATGTGTCGCGAATGTGTTTCAGTTGCGTTCCGGATGTTTCATATACCAAAGGAGCAGATAATTCCATGACTCAGATTTTAAAAAATCTGTAAAAAAAAATTTTCTTCCACCGTCAAGTTATCTTGACTTGAAATATTTCTCTTTCTGACCATTTTCGATTGTATGTGAAATGACTAACTACCGATGCATAAAACGCGATACATTATGTATAAATTCCATTTTCTTTTGTTTTAGTCACAATGTCAATTGAGATAGAAAAAAAAGCCGTCGTCCAATCTGAACGTTGACGGCAGAAACCACTCCTTAAAATTCATAGAGTAACAACCTGCTGCTATCTGATGAATGGTGTTTACGACGTTTTTCTCTCTTCTCCTTAATTGTTGGACGCACTAGGCTTTTCAAATAACACAAATAAATATTTGCTCAAAGACTTCAGGTCTCCCGCAACTTGTGAAGCGTAAAGTGTGTATTTTAATATTCAAGTGACGCTAAAACTGTATGTTATTCTGTTGAATATTCTATGCATCATTTGCACGGAAGTTTGAAGGCAGACTACTAATTTCTACAAAGCAACAAGCTAAAATAAAATACACGAGCTTTCGAATTTTCAGTCAACACTGAATTGATAATAATTAAATAAAATCGACCACAAAGTGCTAATCAGCTAAAATCTTTGTTGGCCGAGAGGAAGAGAGAGAGAGAGAGAGAGAGAGAGAGAGAGAGAGATGAGTGCGCGTTTTACGTCCGTAGCTGTAGTTGTTGGTATGAATGAGAAAGGGCACGAAGCCAATGATAAAATATTCAATACATTCGTAAACCAGTTCGGTGACAATATGTGATTTGCATGAATAAACATCACATTCGCGGAAATCTCGACTCAATCGGGCCGGCAACTTATCCGTTTATCTCTCGTTCACAAACTTGACGACGTCGACGACGACAACAAAACGAAAAAACCATACACGAATTCATCGCTTCTATCAAATTGCACGAAATGAAAAGAACGAAACAAAGCGCGACTGCACAAAAAATATCACTTCGACACACGCTCTGAAATGCGTTTAATTTACATGAAAAAAAAAACCTCATACACGCTCATCCAAACGAGGCACATACACATCTATACATAAACACACACACACACACGGTAAGCGACGTGCGAACGGAATTCCAGAGAATTTGAGAGAATTACCTTGAATTTTAATTAAGAGAAAAAATAAAAGAAGAGAAAAAAATTATTAACACAAAAACGGAATGTAACTATTTTACACAGTAAATTGAATGAATAAATACGAAAAAAGCAAAAAATTAATAAAATTCCAGTAAGTTGGTTTCGGATTTAGCCTGAAGTGCGTTTGTTTCAATTGTTTCACAATGTCAAACTTACGGTTCATGAAAATTTTGTGTGCAATTAATACCGATTACTGGAATGCAATTAGACGAATTCAATTTAAATTCCATTGGAATTGAACGACGGCGACAGAAACCGGCGAGCAAATGACAACAATGACAATAATGTGAAAATTGAATGGCGTTGCCCATTAGCTTGAGTCGGCTGAATTATTGTCTAGCCGCAGAATAACTGATTTCTCGACAACGGTGCTTAACTCACAAATGGAATGCTAATCACCACCATTCGAACAATATGGAATCATTTTCATAGCCATAAGCGAGAACAATAATTCGAAGCAACAGGTAGTGGCAAATGGGAGCTCTCACACACAAAACATGACTCGATGGAGAAGGGATATTACTATGACATTTCTGAATTCCCACTGCATTATAAACCGTGGCTGCGGTGCGACCAAGCAGAAACGATTTGATTTCGATTAATCCATGTGGTATTGAGTATTTTGAATGGCTTCTGCCTCGGCAGTTCATCACCTTTCATGTTATTTTTTTTCTCTCCTCAATTGGATTGATATTTTCATCACCGCAACAATCGATCGTGCCTCTGACCTTCTAGTAAATTGTAAAATAAAAAACGTCTCAATCAGCTCTGTTCGTCTCTTGGTCGAAGAAAAAGGGAACACGTTCACGAATTTCGAAACGAAGTGAGTAGAAAAGTAAATTGGGTCAGCCTCTTCACAGGCACGTTCGAAAAACAATTATTTGACGTACGAGTGGTAGAAAGAAAAAACTACGTTGGTTTTGGCATTTCGGTTTATTCTGACCGATTCGATATTGCAACAATGCAACAAAGAATTTATTTAGCATTCTCGTTCGTACGTAATATTTCATTGAATCCATTTATGATGATGTGTATGGATCTATATGCCAATTCAAGCGTTCCACGTAGCAAACAAGCAGCAAGTAGCAAACAGCCAACTATCCAACGGTACATAAGCCATGAATCATGAACACTAAATTGGGCAATCGAGAAAGAGAGAGAGAGAGAGAGAGAGAGAGAGAGAGAGAGAGAGGAAAAAAGGCCCGTAACATACTTTTTGAGTTCATGCGATTCTACATACTATATCGTTGCTGCTGTTTTTTGCTGCTGCTTTTTTCGCACGATTCGTCATTGCCACTCTATTTCGTTTCGAATCGTCTTACAGCGTCTCTTTACGGCTTCACAATGGCTTAGTCGATCATGAATAAAAGAAATCGTATTGTTACAAGTGCTTCTGACATCGCGGTCTCTCTTCACCATCGTTCTTATCCAAATTCTTTTTTTATTTACATCGTAATTCACTCCGTGAGCAGTTTCTTATTTATTACTCGGCTGCTGCTGCTTGTGCCCATACACTTGTGACGAGCGTCTGTGAACTAAATGTAAGAGCAACACACAAGAACAACCGTAAATTAAATCCAAAACAATACGTACTTATGATCAAACGGTTTAGTCATGGAAATAAATGTTATGAATGCTCGTTTACGTCAAATCTCTCTGCAAGACAAAAGACAAATTCTGCGCGGTGAACATTCATTTTTACCGAAGACATCAATTTTATAGCAATAATTTGTGAGGAAAACGAAATTGATCGCTTTTACCAAAGAAACCGCTGCTGAAAGTATCTGAGCCTCAAAAGTCGCAGTGGAATTGTTTGAATCTGGAAATGGTATGCTTTGCTTTTTGTAATTCGCTGTTTCGAACTTGCGATGTATGTGTGCTAGGGTGGTCCAAACTGATTTATTTAAGGTATATGCTCCCATTAGCT